AAAGTTAGTTTTGATTTTAAGATAAAACCATTCTTGCAGAATAGCTAGTTTTTATTAGGGCAAAAGAATGCCAGTTCATAATATTTTAGAAGACCTTTCTTGTATGACTTTCTGCACGAGGTTGGAGGTAAAATAATTCCACCCAGATTCCCTCCTCAACTTAATAGATTACACAGATTTTTGCCCACTCTCTCAAAATATGAGTCATGATTATGCATTTATATTACATGTTTCTTCCAAGCCTCAAGCTAAATTATAGTGTCTTATAAAGAATACAGTCTATGGGCATGAATTAAGTAGACCACACTACTCAGCCATCTGTCTTTTCTTTCTTTCTTTCCTTCTTTCTTTCTTTCCTTCTTTCTTTCTTTCTTTCTTTCTTTTTCTTTCTTTGTTTCTTTTTTTCCTCTCTCTCTCTCTCTCTCTCTCTCTCTCTCTCTCTCTCACCATACCAAACAAACTTGAAGGCCAAACAAGCATTGGAAATGCACAGTTGCCTTTTGGTTCACAAGATTCAAGGCTCACATTCTTTTCACTCAACATATAACTCCAGGATCTTTAACTTGGATGTAGTCACTTACAGTTCCTGATGTGCACTACTCAGGCAGCTGGAACCCGTGAGATACCAAAGCCTGGTGTTCACCTCAACAGCCAGTGACTTGCTTAGAACATCAATTTGGGTGGAAGACAAAAGTAGCAGATTTTCTTGATGTTTTGTTGTCTATTGTCGTATCTTACCTTGGATTTTTTTAATTAGGTTATTAGCTATGGGGATGAATCAGTAGTCCTAAGGATGTGGTATCTTAATAAACAGAGAACACTTGGAAACAATATAAATACATGAACAAAACTTGTAGAGCCTTGGTATTTTATAAGAAAATAATGCAACCCAATGTAATTTGGGTTTACTCAGTTTGACCAATAATGTAACTGTTAAACTAGTAAATCCAGAGTCATGTCAACTAACAGAGATGAATTTTACTTTCAGGAGGGGGAATAGAGTGAAAAGATAAGAACTAATGTTTACTGATGCACAGAGAAATCACTACCTCATGTTCTGTAAACAGGTGTAAGAATTTCTTGAGGAGAGCGTATTCAGTCTACTCTTCTCTGTCAACACTACCATCAAAGGATACCGTTACCATCAATTTGGTTTCCCAACCCAAAAGTTAGGGTGTTGTTTTTTATTTGTTCTCTTTCTTTGTCTGAAGCTCCAAGTACTATGGATTTGACAAGTTAGAAATAACTTTCACCCAGAATTTTACAGGTATTTCCTTTGTTACGTTTTGTGCCTTCCAGTATTGTAGTTGAGAAGAATGGAGCCATTCCACTCCCAGATTCTTAGACACTTAGGCTCCTACCCATCCCATCCCCAGTACTGTAGGCTTACTTCCTTAACCCAGGAGTCTGAATTCCCCAATGATGTGTTTTCATGTGGACAATTTTTTTTTTCATTGGTCTGGGTACTCTCTGGACCTTTTAATCTAGTTTTACATATAGTTCTAGAAATGTCTGTATACTATTTCTTAATTTTTCTCCCCCACTTTTTTCCCCTCTCTTCTGTGATAGCTCTGTCTGGTAGTTGTTGGACTTTTTGGATTAAACTGTTTTCTTAGGTTTTTCTCTCTCAGAACTGTTTGGGAGAATCTCTCAGTTTACCTTCCAACTATCTTACTGGATTTTTTAATGTTTAATTTTAACTCTCATAAGTTCCTCCTTTTCTTCAGCAATCTGGTTGCTCCATGAGCTTCACTGCAGAGTGACTGGATGGTTTACATCTGCTTGTCTCTTCTCTAGAGAACCATCTTCTTTGATCTCTATGGGTGGTGAGCATTCTAAGGACAGGTTTGGAGGAAGGAGAAGTGGCCCTGGGTCTCATCTCTGCCTCAGGCTTGTTTTCATTCCTGTTCTTCTCTGCACCTCACACCCTTGACTCTGCATCTTTTCTGTTCTCTAAAGACTACTGCTCTTGTCCCGCAGTGGTCGGGGATTGGTTGCTGCCTGACTGGGCCAGGCCCTGTGTGGACCTCAGCCCCCAGGGCCAAACTTCTGTTTCCTCCCTTCTAAGTAACATGTAGGCCTAAATCTTCCTTTTCACTTGGTCTTCTGCAGTGCTTGGTGCTTCCTGTCCCTGCACTGTTTTGGGGTTCTGCAAGGGCAATGGTCTTCCTTCCTACTGAGTTTTCACTCTGCACACCCCTTGGTTTCACCTTCCTCTGCTCTGCTAAACCATAACCTTTCTTCCATTCACCTCCAGCTTTGCTGTCTGTTAAATTCAGTTGGCAGTTGTGGTTGTTTCTGATTCTTGTTCTTGTTCTTTTGTGATGATTTTCAGAAAAGGCTGAAACTTTTACTATACTGTGCTGACAGTGGAATTCTGCTTTTTAAAATAGTGATCCCTTGCTCTAGCAGATTTCTCAAAGGGCAAATATTAGGAAGTTTATTGTTGCTGTTGTTCTATGTTGATTCTGGAATATCTGGGAGAGGCACTGGTTTGGGATGCTGACTGCTTTGGCAACATGGTAAATTGAAATTATTTGCCCTAGCCCTCAAAAGTTGAGACTTATCCAGTCTTCCTGTGTTTTTGCCAAACTACACCAATTAGCTTTGTAGGCAGACTTTAGTCAAGTTAACAGTATTCCTTGCACTGTGCAATTGGTGGGAACCTTAGGGACAGCTGACTTAAATAATACATTTTAAGCTAAAGAGTCTTAAGTACCTGACTAATCGTTTGAGCACATGGGAAAGCTGTCTAGGAGGTGACCTTTTAGGGAACCGTGAGAGAGTAACTGTGGTAACTAAAAACCACACCTGACTTTCACATGATGGGCACTCAGGTTTTTCCTGAATTGTGACAGCTTTTACTAATTGTGCTTTTCTCTTCTCTCAGACTCAATAAAAAAGTGATTTGTAACTCTGATTCCTGATTATATTAATATGACTACAGTTTAAAATATCTGTTCATATTATATAAATGAAGTATTTTTAATCTGTTCAAATTTATTTATCACCCATGTTTAACGTTCTTGATTCCACATATGCATATTAAAGATATAGTCAGTTCTGTCCTAGAAGTTTGCTAATTACCTGGAAAGACAGAATTTATGTATGAAATGCCTAACAGCAATATCCGTCAGTTAGCCAGAGCCAAAACCATGATACTGATCATACTGATTCATCCTGGTTGTAAATAGACAAGGCCACTGTAGCCAACAATGGGGCTGTTGCGTGCAGCTGCATGGCTTGTGTAGAAAGGTACCTTCCTGCAGTGTTGAGGGACCACTGAGGTTCAGCCAGTCTCTGCACATGGGCCTATATCTGTCAGAGCATCTGTGCAGAGTACACACCTTTTTAAAAATTGTACCATCGCTTGCCGTCCTTTGCACTGTGTAGCACAGTCAGCAAACCTTGTGGAGAAGGCAAGATTTGAGTTGAGATTTGGGTTACACAGGGAGATGTGATTGCCAGGAGGTGGGGCTGGAGACTGGTTCCTCTACAGGAGCGCTGTCCAATGTAAAGATTCCATCTGGATTTTCCAGCAGCCATGTTTAAAGAAGAAAAAAGAAATAGGTGGAATTAGTTTTAGTAATATATTTTAACTTTATATCTCCAAAATACTATCAACATCCAAAAAATGTTAAAACAATTATTAATGAGATAGTTTACATTATTTTTTGTATTAGGTGTTTGCAGTCTGGAGTACATTTCACACTTACAGCATATCTCAAATCAGAAGCTAAATTATATCCTGAGTACTTGCTGTGTTTATATTTCATAAAATTTAAAGTTGAAAACATAGATTCACATACCCAAGTTATTCTAAACACTTAAAAAATGAATCAGAGCATCAGTTTTTAAATTTAAATTAATGAAGTGAAATCACTGTGTTCCTCCATGACACTAGCCCATTTCAGGTGTGCAGAGGCTTCTGAGTGGCCCTCTGAGCCACCTCCGGCAACTGCTGTGTGGGCAGTGTAACTCAGGAGGGACTGGGTTGGCCACGCCAGTGCCAGGCACACGGTGTTCCTGAAAGACAGTAAGGAGGCATTGAAGTTTTCAGGAAAATAAATCTCGTAGAAAGTTTGTAATAAGGAGGAACTATAGACAGAGACCTTAGACTCCACCAACTCCCGTATGTTGAACACAGACATGGCTTAGTACTTTTGGTCACTAAACTGGTTATGCTGCATTTAACCAAAGGCTTTCTTGAAGAATAAAGCATCAGACAAAAGGAAGCCTTTCTCTTTCTATTTAATAAGTTTTTTTCTACAACTTTATTGAGGTATAGTTGATGCACAATTAACTGCATATATAGAAAGCATACAGTTTGATGAATTTTGGCCCATGTATGAAATAGTCACCACAAACAAGATAATGGGCATTTCCATCACCCCTAAAAGTGATGAACATTTGCTTAGTGCGTCTTATTTCTAGGGTGCCTGGTAGTGAATGTGAGGACCACAGGTCTGGTCTTGGTCCTGCTGAGTAGCTGTGAACAAGGTGTTACAGTCTCTGGAGACTTTTGATTTCTAATTATCATAGATAGTACTTGTTATCTCCAGAAATATATTTAAAATATTTAACTTACAAGTCCTGGAGGCCTCTGCTGTGCCAGGTGTTAATTTTTTTAACTGTATCGGGGGTCTTGGGACAACAGCTCCTTACCCACTGATAGTTGAGCATTTTAATAACCATACAGCTATATTAACAGGTACCAGCATAGATGATGGGTGGCAGCACAGCAGCCAGGAAAAAAGCCACAAACAGCCTTTCTCATTTCTAGACTCAGGCATTGCTGGCAGAAGAGGAATTGAATAGTGTGGGAATGTGGTTTTATTATAGGTAAGATGCTCCCAAGGGTGGAACGCTTTGCATCGTTGACTTGGAGCCGGGAGAGGCACACACCGCATGATGTGTGTTGATGGGCGCAGCTGTGAGTAAGCCATGCTGATGGCTCAACTGCAAGCCTCCCTTCTCACCGTCTCTTCTTGGCCCAACAGAGGGTGTTCAGAGCTCTGCAGGATCCCCATGGTGGAATACAAACTCGACAGTGAAGGCACCCCCTGCGAGTATAAAACCCCTTTCAGGAGGAACACCACATGGCACCGGGTGCCCACCCCTGCCTTGCAGCCCCTCTCCAGAGCTTCCCCCATCCCCGGCACGCCCGATCGGCTGCAGTGCCAACAGCTGCTCCAGCAGGCCCAGGCCGCCATTCCTCGAAGCACCTCCTTCGACCGGAAGCTGCCCGATGGCACGAGGTAATGCTGGTTTCATTTCCTCAGGGGCGGCCCTTGTAAATCACTGAGGCGAGAACTTGGCATTGTAGGGAAGATTTTTTCACTTGGCTTGGTCACTTCTGAGTTAGCCTGTTCACAAGTTGGCAAGCAGGGTAGCAGGGCAGGCCCCAGACACGGTGGTACCTGGGGTCTGGCACTCTCCTGGCCCCAAGATGATGCTGGCAAGATGCAGGTCCTGCCCACCAGAGCCACAGCTTTTCCTCTTCATCCAGTATCCTTCCTCCATGTCCACTGGCTTCCCAAGATGGGAAAGGTACCCCAGAAACTATTCTGCTGGAGCCTTTAGAAAAGTGTGAACAGGTTTGAATACAAATAAAACAAAACTGAACAATCTGTGCTTAAATATCATCATAATGTGAGGAATACTTTAAGAGGTTCCCAGATCATTAAGACTTTCTCCTTGTTTTTCTCCTTTTAAGTTGAGTTTAAAATTATTTTTTCAAAGAAAGAGTGCATACACTTGTTTAAAGGTTAAATCTAATAGCATTAGAAGCTGGTGAGGGTTTTCAGATGCCTAATTTGCATAGATCATTTTAACAGAACAAAATAATAAATTTCTTATTGTGGTAAATTCCTACTTCTTTTAACTTTTATGTGGCATATAAGCTATGGTGATGCCGTGAGTTTTCTCAGTGATGACATGTCAGGCTCTGGTCCAGCAGACCGTAGACTGGGGGCCAGGCTGGGTCACAGCTCTAACTCACTTGATGTGCTGTAACCATGGGCCTGGTACCATCAGCTCTGAACCTGCAGTTTCTTCGCCTGACAAACAATAGCAGGAAATTTTGAAGATTGAATGGGTCAATGTATATAAAGTGCTCAGAACTGGGCCTGGCACTTAGTAAGCTTATGTAAATGTTAACCGGAATTAAGTGATAAGGTTAAAACATTGTGGTCATCCTCTGCCTTCTCCAATTTATTCTTTCCAGAGTGAAGGCAGGAATGGTGTTAATTTAATTTGACATTAAATTATCTTGGCTCTGGGTCTCCTAACTCAAAAGTCAGCTGGGTTTATAACCTTCCCATATTCAAAGAAATGTACATAGATAGCCCTGGTAAAAGAGGCAGCAGACAGTAAGCAACATGTAGAAGGAAGGGAGTTTGCAGAACCTCCCTTATTTAAGTAAATTTAAATAATTAGAATTTAAGTAAATTAAATTAAAATTTATTTAAAGTAAAATTAAGTAATTCTAATTTAAGTAAATTATAGAAAAAAACCAGAAGTATTCTGGTAGCAAAAGGGAAACTTGGCAAGCACATCTTCATCAAGTGAGGTTTCATGAGTATTTTTCATTTTTGCATGTCTGAAAAAAAAGATAAATAGGATTACATTCAAGAGATGTGTGAAAATAAATGGTTTTGCCAAATTTAGGTTTATCTTTTTGCATAAGTTTTAAGTATAGAACTAAAACGTGACTTGTTTTATATTTCACATAATAAGAATTAGTAATGTTTTCATAATTCTGTATTCTTGAGCATTGTATTGCTGTTCTTCTTTATTTCTCTGGGAGGGAATCAATCTGTGCTCTAAATCTTTAGACAGTGAAGGCTTGTCCTGTCATATCTCTTTCCTAGAACAAATTGCCAATCATAAACCACCTGATCTCTCCTGGCATCACCGATTCTTTTTTATTTTTCCATGATTTATTCTGTTTCACATGGCAGTATGTTTTTCTTCCTTTTCTTTGTCATTCTCAAAGTACATTTATTTGAGAAACAAAACAGGCCAGGTCAAGGGGCTTGGCAGATAGTTCAGTGCCCTGTTAATGACTCTAGTCAACCTTTCAGAAGCTCACCCAGCAACCAGTCATCCTCCAGCGACCCCGGACCTGGCGGGAGCGGACCCTGGAGACCACAAGTGGGCTGCGACGGGTACCACTCATTTTTACCTTACTGCTATCCACCGGGAGGAACGTGTTTCTGTGACTCATTCAAAAGCATTTACTGTACTCCTGCTGTACCCGGGGCCATTTAGGGAATAAACAAATGCCAGACGTGCTTTTAACAAGTGACGTGTCCAGGTTAGAAAGCTCATTATTACTATGTAGGTAGTGCTCACCTGTCTATGTTCTCAGCCTGTCGTTTTTTTTTTTTTTTTTTTGGTTTTGTTTTTTCCTTTTTGATGAGGAAAGATTTTCAGAACATGAAAATTAAGGATGTGAGGGCTTAGTTGCCCTGGACTTAAATTGCTGATGAGGAAAGACCGCCCAAAATCAGAGAAGCAGGTTTAGCATTTGGCTTTTTTTGCTTCCTGTCCAAGAAGCACTGGGAGGTTGCCCCAGCACAGCTAGCTGAGAGCTGTCCTTTGTAGTATCCATGCAGTCTCCAGGAGTCAGCAGCTCAGGCAGAGCCCGAGGACTTCTGTGAACAAAGACACTGGGTTGGCCGGTCCCACCACCTCTGGGAAAAGAAGAGCGAGCGTGGCGTCCGGGCACGCTCCTGAGGAGTGGTCTGCAGGGCCACGGTGACTTGGCACGCTGCTTTGGGTTGGAGTTAGGAGCTGGTTGCGCTGATTGAGAGGAGAGAATGGCTAGTCAGTGGGAAGGACTTCGCCGTGAGGAGCCGCTTACATCACTGCTCCTGCAGGTGCACAGGGAACTTTCTCTGCATTTGTAGTCTGAGTTATATGTTTTTCCCCTTAGATAATAGATGGAGTTCTTAAAAGTTGCATGTCAAGCAGCTTTCTAAATTACATTGTGTTTTAAGAGAAGTGGTTTTGATGCTGTTTTTTTTCTTTTTCTTTTTCTTTTTTCTTTTGTATAAATAGAAAAACTTTTTCTGGCTTTTTCTATAAACCAGGGTCTTAAACCAGAATTCTGTAAATAAGGATCACTTTGTAATGTGAATAAGTTTTCTTCTATTTATTTTTTTCATATTTAGGGTTTTCATAAAACAAAGCCTACTTGAATGTAGTCTTTCTTTTTCTTCTCTTTTTTTTGAGATGTAGCCTCACTATGTCACCAGGCTGGAGTACAATGGTGCAATCTTGGCTTACTGCAACCTCTGCCTCCCAGGTTCAAGTGATTCTCCTGCCTCAGCCTCCTGAGTAGCTGGGATTACAGGCACACACCACTATGCCTGGCTAATTTCTGTATTTTTAGTAGAGACAGGGTTTCACCATGTTGGTCAGGCTGGTCTCGAACTCCTGACCTCGTGATCCGCCCACCTTGACTTCCTAAAGTGCCGGGATTACAGGTGTGAACTACCGCACCCAGCCCTTTTTCTTTCTCAAGAAAAACTGAATATAAAGATATATCAGTGCCATGTATTCTAGGCATAAGGTAAAAAGCGACCTCCACCTTAGCTTACTGGGACATTGTCCGATCCTGGACAGTCCTTCAGCCTGCTGGTGTCAGCACCCATTCTTTATCTGTAAATGGCTATCATCCAGCTGCTTTTACTGACCTGGTTAAACCACATCCCACAATTTTGGATGCTTTTAGCTTCTCTGGCGAGGCTGAACTGATGATTTGCATTTTCATTTGCCAAAAGACCAGTTCCTGGATAGGGCTTTCCCTCACATATCCCATTTGGAAGCCGACATTCCCGTGCGCTTGCTGGCAGGTGGCATGGTGAGAAAGGACAGGCTCAAATCTGTGTCCTTTTCAGGTGCCAGTCCCCTCTACTGCTTGAACACCAAGGCTCAGGCCCTTTGGAGTGTGATGGAGCCAGGGAGAGGGAAGACTCCATGGAAGCAAGCAGGCACCCGGGTAATAAGGAACTCCTGGAAATTGACCTCCCTTGCTCCCCTTTCTTCCTCCCTGACCCCCTCTCCATCACTCGTTCATTTTATTCATTCATTCATTCAGCCTGTGTGCACCAGGCTGAGGTGATCAGCTGGGTCTCCAGATGCAGGAGAGGGTGTGGTCACGGTTGGTTGTGGCTGTGGTACCTGCAGAAATTAAACACTTAGTTTCTGGTGGTGGTTCTGTCTATTTTTGTGGCATATCTATTGGTAAGACCAGAAATTCTTAGAACCACAAGCCTGGTTCGTTTCCCTAACCGTTTGTCCAACTTCTGTTTTTCTTTACTCTTTTGCTAACACTGGAAATTGGAAATTCAGCTCCTTCTCTTTATGTGACAGAAACCAAATGGCATGGCCCTCCTTCCAAGGTCCTGAGTTCCTATAAGGAAAGAGCTCTGCAGAAAGATGGAAGTTGCAAAGATTCCCCCAATAAACTTTCTCACGTAAGTCCTTTGTTCATAAGCCCTTCACTCACCTAGCCAGGACTGCTCTGTCTCGGCACACAGTGGTACAGCCTGCTTCCTGGGGATGCTCAAGAGCGCATTACCTCATGGGGCTCTTAGAGATGAGGTTAAAAAAGGAAACTATCTTCCCGATTTATAAAGGACCCAAAGAAAGGTCATACAACAAACTAGTGGCAAAGCCAAGGTTATATCCTCAGCCTTTTGATGCTCAATATCCAGGGCAGTAGTTACTAAATCATGTTCCCGTTTGTAACCTGTTAACCACTTACCAATTTAGTGGCACAAAACAGAAGCAGAAACTGCTAAGCAGTGTGTGTGGTCAGAGGAACTCTGCCCATAGGTAGCCATTTACTCTATGGTCACAGACAATTTAATAATCACAGCCGCAGCCGCCCGTCTCGCCTGTCAGGTTAGAACAGCACCCACGTGGTAGTTCTCAGTCCTTTGCATGTGTTGCCATGTTTACCCCTTGAAGAAACCCTAGGAGGTGAGCCTCCAGGGAGACTAGCTCAATGAAACAAAACTTCCATTTAGATGCAGAAGCAAGAACGATGAGTTATCACAAATAAAGCCAACATTTTTAAGTGGCTTATTTTTTAAAATTTGCAGGTGAAGATAATTTATAACGTCCTGAATTAACTGATATCTTTCCTGTATCTTAATGTGTCATCAGCCAGCTTTGCAGTTGTCCCTTAGTGAACACATGCGACATTTCTTCTCTCAGCTGTGACCACTATCTTGTCTTGAGTCAGCCTCACCGTATCTATTTAAATCCACCTTTACAGTGTTCTCATTACTGGTTTCAGCAGAGGGTTGCAGGGTGTGGGCATAGTTTGGAGAATGTCGGTATATGATGAAAAGGTCAAGGTGATTTGCTTAAGGATCTGATAGGATGGAATGAAAAAAGATAAGACCAAACCCCTTTAAAATCTACCAGGGCATGGCTCATTCTTATGATTCCAAAGCCCTTTGCTGATGCTTCAGATCTTGTTGCGTTTCCCAGACTGAAGAGAAGCCATGTCTGTATGAACACATTGTACCGACAGGGACATTTCTTTTATTCTGTTTGCTTTTTGTCTTCTAGAGACCCTTCCCTCTGACCCGCCCCCCCAAGCATTGACTCTTCTTCAGACCTGTTTACTTGAAAGGGAGTCCCATCTCTTAAAGACTTGGGACATAATTTGACTGGGGCTGTCTCAGAGAGAGAGCTCGTGTTTACCTTGTGCTTTGCAGCAGCCAAAGTGCTTCTGCGTATATTATCCCATTGGCTTCACACAGGAGTCACAGAAGCTCCATATTACAAGCACAGAGAGGGTTAGATTAGCCAGAAATCCCTACCTTTGTCACTGGAACTTGCATCTTCTGCCCCAAACTCAAAGCTGGCACTGTTGTTTTTGAAAAAGGAAATGCTGTCATTGCCCATATTGCAGAGTGAGTAGAAAGGGTTTGGGTGAGAGCCCCTGGCTTGTAGCTCTGTGAGTCAGGGAGAGAAGCAGCAGAGTTCGGGATTCACTTGAAGGCTCTCTGTTCCTCTTTCTTCTCAAGATTGGGGATAAAAGTTGCTCCAGCCACTCCAGCAGCAACACACTCTCCAGCAACACCTCCAGCAACAGTGACGACAAGCACTTTGGGTCTGGCGACCTGATGGATCCCGAATTACTGGGGCTGACCTACATCAAAGGGGCCTCCACCGACAGTGGCATCGACACGGCCCCGTGCATGCCCGCCACCATTCTTGGCCCCATGCACCTGGCTGGCAGCAGGTCCCTGATCCACAGCCGAGCTGAGCAGTGGGCTGACACTGCTGATGTCTCGGGGCCTGATGACGAGCCGGCCAAGTTGTACACTGTGCATGGCTACGCGTCCGCCATCTCTGCCAGCAGTGCTGCGGAAGGCAGCATGGGCGATCTCAGTGAGATATCCTCTCATTCCAGGTAAGCCCTGCAGCACTGCAGAGTAGTACCTGCTGGTGCCACCTAGGCCCTGCCTGCTGGAATAGGGCAGAAGCCTGAAATATAAGCAGTAGGGGCAAAAGGTAGGTTGTGCTGTTTTCCTAGCTGTCTAACGTCAGAGGAAAGGAAAGGCTTGTTTCTACAATATGAAAATGTGCAAGTTTGCATGTTAATAAGTCCCTTGTTTGTGATTTTCCCCCCGTTTCCATAAGTTTGAGCGAAAAGTCAATAGAGTTATGAAATGCTCTAGTCAGGCCACTTATGTCTCTCCCTAATTCAACCTGTTGTCCCTACATGTTTTGGAGAAGAGGTGGTGCTGACTAATCTTCAGACTGCAGTGGGAAGCCATGAGGGCAGCGTGTGCATGAAGTACACGTAGCTTGCTGCCAGGAGGGCACGCACATACTTTCTCCCTGTTCCTACAGCCCTGACAGCAGGGGAGACCTGAAATCGTGTGTAACAGTGAAAGTGTGTTCAGCTCTGCAGCTGGGGTTCATTCAGTAAAGACTAGCTAAGTGTAAAGGAATTGTGTTCTAAGTACTCTAAGTGTAGGTGTTTAATATCTGCTTATGAGTAGCTTTAAACTCCTATTTGACATACTTACTCTGAGGTGGTTTTAAAATACCTAATTTGTGATTTCTGTTCACTTTCAAAGACTAGGCAGAGGGCAAAGAAATGCATTTATTGAACTTGGCTATGGACAGAATTTATTTACAGCAACTACCAATATCATTTTTCTGCTTGTTTCCAAGGCCATCCCCAATTCAGCTCCAAGTCACTCTCTGACTCCTGCCCAGAATGCTAGAGGGCGGAGTCTAACTGCTAGAGGGCAGAGTCAGATGAACTAAGGATGAGAATACTTCTTCCAGGTACCTAGTGCCGTGAGGGAGCATTTCTCCAAATGATGGTGCTCAGGGCAGAGCTGTAGAGGTCACACTGAAAGGCTGTTTATGTTCCTTAGGCTCCCCTTCAGAGTCCTCCCTCACGCCACCATTGCTAGGGGATGCTGAGTGTCATTCAGGGACCTTTACATTACAAGTTAAAGAAAACTCCATGCTGATTGGTTCACGCAACCAGAGCCATATTGGGGCTCATGTAACCAACAAGTCCAGCACTTTCAAGGTTCTGTTTGACCCAGCAGCTTAAAATGATACTGCTCAGGACCGGGTTGTCTCCTTCCTCCCACTCCACCTGACCATTTCCCAGAATCTCAGCATTCTTCTCTTGGCTGGAAACAGCTGTGTCACCTGCAGACCTCCCACACTCCTGCTCCTCTGTCCACAGTAAGAAAGTGGTTCTAGTTTTTGCAGAAGAAACAGGTTTCTGCCCCCTCCAAAGCCAAACCCCCTACCTCCACATCTCTTCACGTGTTCTTAGCTCTAATCATGTAGTTAGGGGTAGCATCGCCTAGGGCAGCCAGAGCCCTCAGCTTGGGCTGGGGTCAGTCCCTCTCACCCAAGCCATGCAGCTAAGGAATGGCAAATGCAGCCACTCTCCCAGAAGAGAAACAGGGCATTATTTGTCTCGGAGAAGGAGGTGTGGACACCAGAGAGTAGAAATCATGTGTGTCCACCGTGTACCCTTCTTCTGTTTGCTGGGGCAGAGGGAGCTTAGGATATGAAAATTATTTTCAAAACAGACATTCCTACTACTTTTTACCAGCTCTTTTTAATAATTTGACTTAAAATAGGTTTAGTACTACTAATAACTGATATAATAATTAAGAATTATCAGTGAACTTGGTTATCTGAATTATTCCTGGCTTAATTTCAGGAACAGTGGTCATACTGTAGAAACTATCTCAGGATTGTACATCCTGCTAACATCTAATTCAAAGTTTAGATGATGAGTAAAAGAGCCAATTTTATGACACCTTTTTGGACAGATGTAATTGGCATCACAAATAGAGTTTTGTATTATTATCAAGCAAAATTTCTATGGAGACTGCCTTCAGAGTACATTCATTTGTTGGTGTTTGGTAGGGATACTCACCGGCATTTGAAATGGATTTTCTTGACTACCTTATCCATTCACAAATTTAATGGGCTAGACTCTTAGAACGTATATGAAAGTGCTAGATTGGATTTCTGATTGCTTTTACTTTCTTCCACCACCCTAAATTGAATGTGGCCCAGCTGTTGTGGAAGTGATAAATGTTGAGTGAGTGGAATCCTTTACCACCTGACTGTCCTTTTCTTGTAATTCTTCGTTGATGGTGACTTTGAAGCCACATTTCAACTTGCATCCTAGGGTTTTGCTCAGCTTGGAATTGAGTCATTGAATGGAATCTTTTTAATACTTTCCTCTTGCCTGCCCTCCAACCTGCACAGGAGGCGAGGAGGAGGGATGGGATTTACAGCATTTGCCTTGTTTTCTGTGTGCTGAGTGAAAGGCAGGTGATTCATTAGAGCACGAGGGGCCAACCTATCAAGTGACACAAAGATTCTGCCAACGCTGAAATGCCAAGCCCCAGGTGGGGCATGGGCGGCCATGAGGAATGCTCCCTCAGCCCCCTACTTCCCTCTTCTGTCCCAGTTCAGGCAGCCTTGCAGTCCCCTTGGAGCTGGGGCCTACTGCTGGAGGACTTGGGCTGTGACTGGGAGCAAGTAGCCCAGGTAACAAGAGCAGAATAAACTTTCAGGAACTGACACGGGTGACCATCCTGGCTAACACCACATTTCTGCCTCCAAGTGCTCTGTGCCCTTGGCCTGTGTGTTACTTTCTTCACAGCACCCACCCCTAGCTGAAATGGATTGTGTTTACTGCATATTCCTTCCCACGAGAAGGTCACGTATTGCTACCTTGTCCTCACTGGAGCATCTGTGTTTTGAGCTGATAGGGTCATGGCCTGTCTTGTTTGCTTGTATCCGCAGCACTTAGTACAGTTCTGTGCACATGGCAGGCATCTGAATATTTTTTGAATGAAGGAAGGAACTAGGAAAACTTCTTGATAAATGCTTATTGATGGAGTTAATAAACCAGTGCCTGGGTAACCTAGGGAAATAGGAGGAATGTGGGATTCATCATTCCCAGTTCATAATGTCAGGAGCCCCGGTCAGCATATGGTGTACTCTTAACTCTTTAATTCTGGTTTTTCACCACAACACCATAGCAGCCTCCTCTAGCCCCAAGCACACACATACACGTTCCTTGGCAGCCACCCGGGAGTTAAATAAGTACAGAACTGTATATATGGCATGGTTCCAAGGTTGTACTAAGGAGGCAAAGGGAGGACTTAAAACTCTTTAAGACAAGTTACACTCTTGTGAGGAAGAAGGGAGGTGAACAGGAATCATCTATTAAGCAGGACAGGCACATATCTAGCCTGCTTTCTCCTGCTGCTCAGTTCTTTTAGTTCAGCAAACACATTTTTTCTTTCTTCTAGGGCCGGGCACTTAGATAAGAGCTCATACAAAGCAGTATTTATGCTAGCCTAACTAAGGCTTTGCAAAATGAAGTAAATCAACTGCAAAAACAAACTCCGTGTTCTGGATTCTCCTGTAAATGGCACACACGATGTTGTGCTGTTTATCGTTACTCATGACACCATACCTTTCTCCTGGTAAAAATGATTGGCCGTCAGCAGTGTAACTCTGAAAGAAGAGCATTAGTCCAGAAGGAAAGGATTCTTGAGAAGTTTGTGGGCAACATTCTAGAATGTTTATCAGCTTCAGGGAACACTTCTGTGATGATACGGCTGTTACTAAACAAGGAATTGTACCATATCACCCATCAAATGGATTCTGTACCTTTTTTCTTCAAGTTAACTTTAAAATATCTTACAGTTGGGATAAAAGACATTTTTGATGAAACCTAATTTTTAGAAAACGTTATAAAACAAATGGAAAAATACATAGTTTGTGGTCACACTGTCATTACCTATACATTTTCAAAAGTATACACTTTGGTCATTTTAAGGGGGAAAGGTGAGTAACTTCCACACATGCAGCCTTTTAACTGTACCATGATTTTGAGTGTCCCAGGCCTTTACCAACAAAACATCTCGGGGATCATCAAAGGATTTGAAATACTTGAGAAACATAGTCAGTGGAAGGCAGTGCAGTCTCCCATCAGGTTCTTAATGGAGAAACTAAGGCCTTAACCCTTACTGGGACAGTTGGGAAACTGGCATGTGGACTGTCTGTTACATAACAGTATTGCATGCATGCCTGATGTCCTGTACTTGCCTTCACTTGGTTAACTACTGGGGGGATGTCCTTATTCTTGGGAAGTAAATGCTGAAATATAGGAGTATGATGTCTTCATTCTTGCAACCAATTCTCAGATGGTTCAGAGAGGAATTAGTGGATCTAGACAAAGGGTATGTGGATGTTTATTCTTTACCTCTTCTGTAGTTCTGAAATTTTTCACAGTACAAGAGAAAATAACATACAGGGCTTCAGAGCCCATTATCTAGACATGGAGTTTTCACGTTAGGGTTCCCTAACTGGCGTGCACCCCAGTGAGTGGGAAGAGTTCATTGGCTCCTATTCTTCGGGCCTGTTGATCACTTGCTTCACTCCTCAGGTCGTCTTGGTCATTTTGCTTTACTGTTCTCTCGACCTGGTGTTCCATGTGTGGATGTCATTGGAGAGGCAGTGCAGCATCTTCCTGAGGCCCACAGTTAGTGCCCAGAGGGAGGGACCCGCCAGTCCAACTCAAGGACACAAGACCAGCCACCAGCAACTAAGTTACTTCATAGAAGTAGATGAGGCACTTCGTTTGTTGCTTAATTTTATTTAATAAAATAAATTTTCCAGAATGCAGAGACCCCAAAAATGGGTCGATTTGTTTTATTTCCTCTTGAACCTCTACAAAAGGTTCATTTTAATATCATTCTTATTTTTATACTTTCTTCGTCTTTTATGATACTTGCTTTATACATGTATCAGAAAAGGCCTGTGCTTCACCTGGGGTTTCAGAGTAAGATTGTATTTCAGCATACTGGGGAGCTTGCTACCTCAGGAACCCTGTGTTAAACTCTTTCAAGAGAAAAGACTCCTACTCATGAATAATCATTTCCTGGGTCACTTTCTATAACTACATATTTATATAATGCTTACACTATGCTATGCACTGTTCTAAGTGCTTCACTACTATTAACTCATAATCTTCAGAGAAACCCTCAGAGGTAGATACTGTTATTATCCTCATTTTACAGATCAGAAAACTGAGGTTAAGAAGCTTGCCCAGGGCCTTGCAGGGGTAAGGGACAGAGCTGATGTTGGGACCCAGAATCCTTGCATTGTACTCAACGTGTCAAGTTTGCTCAAAGTGGAGCCCGCCTGCCTTTCTGAATGCTGAGATTAGAAATATAATTTAAACTTTAAAAATTTTTCATATTTGTAAAGTAACATTCATTTTTCATAAAACATATTGTTGATCTTTCTGATTTAAGGAAAAGGTATTTCTGGTGGTGGATATATTGTCCACTTAATTTCTCAGTCAGCCGGGGGTGGGTAGTCCTTCTGGCCTTAGCTTAATTACTAACCTTGAAAATTTTTATTGTTTTTAGGGCCTCTGTCTGTTTCAGTATTGTTGCTGTTGTATCATATGATCATGCAGCAAACACCCCTGTAACTACCACCAGGTTAAGGACTAGAACATTGCTGTGTCTGGAAGCTCTCTGCATCCTACCCAATTACAACCCCTTCTCTTCTCCCTTGAGGTAGCCACTGACCTGGCTTTTGTGATAATCATCCCCTCATTTTCTTTACATTTTCCTGAATGACATGTTGTTTAGTTTTACTTGTTTATGAACTTTATTAAGAAATTGGCTCAGGATCATTGTATTCTTTGTGACGTGCTTCTTCTCTACATTGTTCATGAGATTGCCCAATCGTCTGTAGCCTCAGTGCATTCATTCATAGAGTATTCCATGTATTCATTCATAGTTATTAACTGAATATCCTTCTACTACTGATAATTTGGATTGCTGCCATTGGGGAGTTCTTAAAATCAATGCTTCCAATTAACATTGTTCCATGTTTACAGTTGTACGTGCAGCAGGGGTTTATTGTGTGTATACACTTGAAGTGGAATTGCTGTATCGTGAGCTCTGCAGGTGCACACACCTTCATAGGCAGTGCTCAAACTGTTTCATGCACTTTTAACTCCCGCCAGCAGTAATAAAGTACCCACTGCCCCAGTTCTTAGTAGCACTAGGTGGCTGGGTATTGTCAGGCATTCTCATTTTTGCCTGTCTGGTGAGTATGTAATGGTATTCCATTATGGTTTGCATTGGCATTTCCCTGGTGACAATGGAGTTTGAGCACCTTCTCTGATAAACATATTCACCATTTGAGTATGTCCTCTTTTGAAGCATCAGTTTAGGAATGTTGCCATTTTTCTATCAGATTTCCCCGGCCATATTTTTAACATCCTTCCTGCCACAGGCATGCAACTTACATGTGACTAACCTTAGCCTATGTAAAATGAGGCTTCCTAGCAAGCTCCATAGTGGAAAGAAGGCTCCACCTGCCTCCCTGTGCCTGATTTTGCTCACGGAGAAAGACTTGAGTAAAGCCTTGTGGATCTGAATTTGGCCATGTGCCAGCACTGCTGAAATCTGATTGTATTGCAGCTTTTGTCTGTTCTGCTCCTCAGTGGTTCTCACCATTCAGGAAGCCCTTCAGCTCACTGTTCAAAAAATAGTGGGTCTCTGGATTCATCCAAAGTCTACATCGTGTCGCACAGCAGCGGACAACAGGTTCCCGGGTCCATGTCCAAGCCCTACCACAGACAAGGGGCAGTGAACAAATATGTCATCGGCTGGAAGAAATCGGAAGGCAGCCCACCACCCGAGGAGCCAGAAGTGACTGAATGTCCCGGGTAGGGTGGTTGGCTATTCTTCTCTGGGCAGTATTTTTCACTGTGGGGATTGACTAAGCAAACATATTTTCCTCCCGAGGGAAATACATTCTAAAAAAGAATAATGTCGAAACATCTTTCTTAAACTCTTTAAATGTCAATGTTTATATTCCTCTATAAAATTATTCTCTTTTCTTGATTTTTACTTACAAATTGGAAAGAAATCTGTGTTCTTTGCTTTTATATTCAAATCTGCCTGCAATGGAAAAGTCATGGTAACATGCTACTGAATGTGTGAGGATAGATTCTCTATAAATACACAAGGTCAAAGGCAGTTCAAATTCCCACAGACTCCTGTATGTTTCTTAAAGTTGCCGTGTAAGTGACATCCTAACAAAAAAGTATGGTTCTTAATTTTAGCATGACTTCCAATTTTCCTTTTAGATGTTAGGTTTGAGTTGGCAGGGGTCATGTAGGGAAGGATGCTTTGTATCTGTTTGAAAAAGAAAAGATTTTAAAATACTGATAATCCATCTTATAACACTTATGAAAACTAAGCTGATGCCTCTGTGAAGAGACAGGTAAAGAAATCACATTTCAAGAATGCAAAGCAAGGCTGGTTGGGGCTAAGTAACTATTTGCTTATATCGTAAAGAAGCTGAACAGATCCTCATGCTAAATTATCTGTGTGCTTTGCTGTACCTGCCTGCGATAGCATCATCAGGCGTGTGGTGCTGAGCATGGGATGGCTCTTCAGAGAACGCCGCTAGATTGTACGTTTTGCTGGTGAACCAGTGTCACTTTTTTCTCTTAAAAACAATTGTATGATAAATGCCTTCTAAATTAAAAATTCTTTTAGTGCTTAAATTGAACATGGAATCTTTTGTAAAAAAAATCATATCAATCATTGCAAATGACTTATTTAGGAAGGAATTTCATAGTGATAACTAGCCCTTTTTATTATAAATGAAAATGTTAGAATGACACATTGGTATTTCTGTCTAATAAGAGTCTTCTGAGTGCTTCACAGGAATTCATTCCAAGCCTGTTTTAAATTCTATGAAATATTTTTAGAAGCATTTTGTATGTTGCCGTAGTACTATGTTTAGGCAAAGGACTCTCTTGGAAAGTCAGGGAAGTGTGAAAGGAGCCCATTTGGACAGTTTTCATGCAAAAGCCCGGGGTTTATGCATTTTCACACGCGGATTTGATGGCACCAATGTTCAGTGAAAGCGAGGCAGTGTCAGGAATGAGGTGAGAAAGGGGTGTGGTGTCTCTGAGTCACAGTCTGTGCACACTAAAGGAGACTGAGAGCATGTCCCTGCTGGAGCTTCTCACCTGGGGACCTGTGTGGTGTGCAAGGCAAATGGCAGTCCCCATACATGTTCTTGGCAGTAGAAGCTCTTCTGTCCTAACTCACATTTTATGGGGAGGATTTGAGATGATAACTCAAACTGGTTGTCATCACAAGAGGTCATTGCTGGTATTCGAGACCAGGGGTCCTGGTCAGTGTGCCAGCTCAGCCTGGCAGATGTAGCAGGTGTCCCAGGCCCTGCCCAGCAACACAAAATGTTTCTAAGGCAAGACAATCATACAAGACTGCGCTAACTAGATTTGAAGTTTTAGCAAAACAGTGTTTTATCAGATCACTGAAAGATATGCTTAGAAAACAGTCAGACAAGTACAGCTTATTTGCACCATGGAGAATTAGTTAACATTAGTGTCTCATTGTACACCAAAAAGAAATCAGTTGTGCCCTCCAGAAGTTTCACATAGACCAGTTATTTCTCACAATCCTATTGTGGAAGCCCTACTATTAATTTTGTTAATGATATCATCTTACATTTTTAAATAATATAAGCAAAGGAGCAGTTCTGTCTCAGGCTTCTGTGCAGCCATTCATGCTGTTTCCTCTGTCTAAATGCCCCTTGTGAGTTTCTGAGCCTAACCAGCACCCTCCTAAAGGGGTTGTTCTCTGCACTCGCTAGCCCGGTACTTCCTACAGTGAATTCACACTTGATCAGTCATCTCGGCCTGCAAAGCACACACAACACATGCACACCACATGCACACACACGTGGACTTGGGCTCCTGTGCAAGCCTGTGTCCTGCTTACTGCTCTACTCACAGTGACTGGCACAGAGTAAACCCTCGGAACATATTTATGACACATCATTGGATAATATCTTTCAATTACTAGTTTAGCAGAAAAAGCTAGTGATTTTTATTGAAACACATATAAACTAGAACAGCACATTGTAATCATAATTACACATATAATGTTACTATCCATGCATTTTTTTTCCCCTGCATCTTTCCCAAAACACATTCGGACTGGAGCTCTTGAGCACCACCTAACTCACTTCAGGATCAAATGTTGGGGTCTTCTTGGATGCACTCTTCATAAAAGTTACATTGTTTTGTTTTCCTTATGTGGCTCTTGCGCAAAAGCTCTCCAGGGCCTTGGGTTCTTGTTGCAGCTCCCGTTTTCACGTCATGCCATCCCACAAACCAACTAAATCTTCAGTAGTGTTGTAAAAGTTACAAAAAGCTTCTTTTTTTACAGCTACTGTTTGTTCATGTAACTGTAGCTTGTGCTTCAAGAACTGAGAGGTACAGGGAAACCGGTCCTACCTCAGGAACAAAGCAAGAGCCATAGAGGATTTTAGAGAGATCCTTCTTAATTTTGAGCATGTTTGTGTATGTTTCTTCTTCTAGTAATTTCCCAGTGAGCTGTCATAAAATGACAAGATAGCCTAGCTTTTGAAATAGTCATCTCAGAGGCACACAGCAATAACATTCAGGTCATTCTCTAGCTCTCTGCTGTGGGCTATGAATTCCTAGAGTGTTATGTTTCAGATTGTGTGGCAAAGACCGTTTGCCTCCACTGACAGTGCAGCCACTGACTGTTTACTGTGTCCTCAGAAATATTTGGTTGCTCAGATTGTATTTTCAGAGTAAACCTTTTTAGAATGACTCCCCAGTTTTCTCCCTGTAAAGGAGCTGAAAATAATAATTCAGCTTGACACTCTTTTGTTGTCTATAAATAGATTTTTATATACTGATAATTAAGGGAGACAGCTGCTTTATCCAAATAGCTTTGTGAAATTGCTGATAGTAAAACATGCTTAGCACATGACTGAATTGATGACTCTTAAACCCCGGCTCCCTCGGGTGGCTTCCTCTCCATTCCTTGGGTACCATCGGGCTCTGGTTGTCCAGCCGCGAGAGAAAGGCTCTCAATTTCTGAGAAGCACAAGGGCTGCTTCAAAAGGCATATGATAATCTCTGATGAATTATTGAAACTGTGTTTTCTGACACAGATTAGGAATGGGAAAACATAGTCGTATTTTAAAAGTTGGCTGTGTGGTTTTTTTTCATCCTAGGCTTTGGGGATCTGATTTGTTTCTGAATTATTCAGACATCTAACTTTGTAGCTGAGCTCATTTCACAAATGTGAAATGGCATGGGAATTTGGAGCAAATGCAGCAAAAGTGAACTGACTTAAGACCTAAGAATTGTTTGTATGCATTTGTGGTTGTTGAAACTGGCTACTAGGTTTTAATTCCTACCACTACAGGCACTTTACAAACAGGCTTAATTTCCATTCTGATTGTTTTCAACAGGATGTATAGTGAGATGGATGTCATGTCTGCAGCAACTCAGCATCAGACAGTAGTGGGAGATGCCATTGCAGAGACTCAACATGTTCTGTCTAAAGAAGATTTTCTGAAATTGATGCTTCCTGACAGCCCCTTAGTGGAGGAGGGGCGAAGAAAGGTTAGTGACTTATGGAGCTTTGAAGTTACCAGAAATACTTAAAAAAAAAAAAAAGTCTAAAGAAACTCAAGAGTTTCCAGAGTACTCCCACACGCTTCATCGCTCATGACCATACCAACAACCCACTGCACATAGCTGACCGTTGCCAGTTTTGATTCTATCAGTATGTAAAGGGAGCCTGAGAGAGGTTAAGAAGGCTGTTTTTAAAACCTCAGATAGAGCTAAAAGTCAGGCTGGCCTAGCTTCAAATCCTGGCTCCAGCAATGATTAGCTGCATGACTTTATGCAAGTGGCTTGGCCTCTTGACCTCAGTGCTGTCATCTGAAAAAAGGAGATCATAATAATTGAATTGTGAAGTTCAGGGAAGATGAGAAGTAAAGTGTGAAGAGCCTAGTACAGCTCTTGGACATAACTAGTGATCATGAACAGTAGCTGTTAAAATTCACAGCACCTGACTTTTGTTTCAGAGCTCTAGCCTCTGCTCCAAGCTGTCTCTCCTTAAATGTAATCCTGTTCCAGAAGTGGACTGGAGTTAGCACACTGTCTGCTGGGCATTTTAAACAGGGTTGGAACTTGCACGCTGCCATTTAGAGATACGCAGAGATCAGAGGGAAGCCCATGCTTTAATCTTATAAACCAACCCCAAGTTCAATGGCATACCTTCGCCATTCACAATGTAGTATTCCCTAGATAATGTTAGCTTGCTTATTGGCTTTAGTGTCATCATTTTTACAATCTCTTCAACCACTTTGCTAAACAATTCAAAGTATTAAAAAGGACTTAAAGGCAGTTCGGCCCAGTCACTTCTTTCACCAAGTAACTGAGGCCCCAGATGATGAAATGTGAAGTCTTCATAAATATTTGGTACCAGAGTCAGCAACTGAGTCCTTGTCCCTCACTTCTAATCCAGCACTCCTTCTTGTTCATATGAAAAGGGAAAAGGAAATCAGGTATTGCCATACTGGCCATGATCAGGATAAACTGCAGGTCTTTGTGCTTCTGTCTTCCCTATAGTAAAACAATTCTGCAATTAACCTAATTGTGTTTTCAGAACAACACTAATTAGACACTACTGCAAAGCTGCTTTAATCTAATATGCCTGTAATCAAGTTCTGAAGAACCTGCTGGTGGTGTGTGAAGAGGAAATCCCATAAGAACTCCATCGTAACGAGTCTTTTTAAAAAAAATAAAAAACTTAAGTCATGTACATGATACTGTATAAGCTTGGGCGCAAAGGCAGACTGCTGTACGGAGAGTGTAAATAGCTTTTCTTTTTGTAAGGTTGAACTTCTTGACATGTTTTTTTCTTCTAAGACAAATCACCTTCTTTTCATAGTGTAAATTTAACTTTGTAGCTCACATACGTTCCAGTTACCATTCATCAGGTGGAAAGACTTGACAGAATGGAAGGAACACATACAATAGGAATATTTTTAGACTTCTTTCTACATTCATAAATGTAAATAGCCATTTATTTGTTTGATGTGAACATTCTGGCTTTTACTGTTGTTTACCTAAAAGGAATGTGGTTTGGTATGCAAAGAAAGTAATTGAAAATTCACATTTGATTTAACTTTTTTTGAGTATTCGACCACTTGTTTCTTTAGTAAGAATTTTTCCTACCCTATTTGTAATTAAACACAACAATAATTTTAATGGTTCATTTAAGTCTGGTTATGATCCATTACTGTAACTCAGTTTTCAACAATTATACAGACTTTTGCAAGTGATACTTTTAAGTGGACAGTAAGACTTTATTCGACTGCTGCTATTTTTTTGAAATGTGTTTATGTGGCCTAGAAAGCTCCAGTGTTCAAAATTAGTCTTATTATTTAGATTGGATTGAACCTCATATGTAGTTGATTGGTAGAGAAATTGCCTAATACTACAATGTAGTCATTTCAAATTAAAATCAAACCAGTATTAAGTGTGGCTTTGAATAACTATTGCCAGAAATGGCAACCTTATATAATTCCAGGAACTATCACTGCTATAAGGATATGGAGGTTTCATTTAACATTTCAGAGTTAATAAAGCTGTGCATGTCTAATTCATGGTAATATTTCATAGAATGTCAAAGGAGGAAAACATAAAATCTAATAAGTGCACCAAAGCCCTGGTGCATTTCCCTCGATCACCTCCATGCCGCGTTTAGCAATGCTGAGCTAACAGAGAAAACTCAGAGGGTATCACAATACTATGTGAAACCACTGGCCTTGGTCACACAAGCCACATGCATTTGTTTTTTAATGTCTGTTCCCTCCTCTCACCTTGTTTAAACCCTAGTTTTCGTTCTATGGGAACCTGTCTCCAAGGAGGTCGCTTTACCGCACGCTGTCTGATGAAAGCATCTGCAGCAACAGGAGGGGGTCCTCCTTTGGCAGTTCCCGGAGTTCCATGCTTGACCAAGCCCTGCCCAACGACATTCTGTTCAGCACCACCCCACCCTACCACAGCACGCTGCCGCCACGGACCCACCCCGCACCCAGCATGGGGAGCCTGAGAAGTAAGTGATGGGCTGGCTGCTCCCTGGCCAACGCTGAGGGTGGGCTGATCACACAACTCCTGCCTCAGTGGGCTCTGAGGGTGGCATGGTTTGGGAGTTTGTTTTGTTTTAATTAAATATGCATCATTTGGCATTTTTCTTTTAAATAACTTTCAAATATAAAATCCCCAGAGTGGACATTTTGAAAAAGTTAGGTAATGCTACCTATTTGAAAAGAAATTGAGAAACTCGTATTAGATATTTCTGTCAAGTCCAATAGTGACTTCTGTATCATATGTCAGCTATCATATCTGTAAAGGAAAAAAAAAATGTTTAAAGCCTGATTTAATTAAAAAAAAAAAAAAAAAAAAAACCTGATATAAGGAGTTGGGTTTTCAGTGGGCGGCAGCAAGGAGGGATGTCTATTTTTCTATCCTTCGGTTTCTTTGTATAGTTCAGTTCCTGGAGATGGGAAGGAGGCACATGTGCCTCGGGAGACCTGCCTTGTAGACTGGGCTGTACCTGTGGGCGGCTTTGTGTTCCTGTGCAGATAACTTGTGTTCTCTTGTGTCCCCACTTATTTCAATTTACTAGTTACAGGTCAACCTGATGATTTCTAGATGATTTTCCTTCAAATCCTAAAAATCTTTGATTTTTACATAGTGTCAAGTTTTCATTAATGTCACTTTTTCAGGGCACTTTTTTCCTTATGTTAGTCAGCCTGATTTCCTTTATACTTAGTGTGTGTGTTTTAAAAATTGTACAGAGAGAATGGGAATTTAATCAGAAATGTATTCATTGCCAAGTTTTTTTTTCATCACAGAAAACATTATCTTTAGAACCAATTCAAACTTCATTACACATATAGAATTCCGAGGCTAAATGAAATCAAAATTCTAGTAATGTTTCTAATGTTTAACATAATTGGAAATGAACCTTATCTTATAAAATTCTTAATCTATTTCTTTAAGTAACATAATAACCTGCCTGTTATAAAGAGTCCATTTACCTAAATTGAAGAAACCTTTAAACATCTTCTTGACAACCATGTGAAATGTCAGACAGAACTATCCCACTTTCCTAATATTTCTCCTGCTGTTGTCCCGTTTTTGTAAATAGGCAACTTTAATGTCCTCTTAAAAGCTTTCGTAAAACCAACAAAACTTTTCCTGCAAGTGTTATTTCATTTACAGTGTTTGAAGTGTACTTGTGAATTCTCTGTATGTTATGTTGGTCTTAATTCTACCCTTCATTTTTGTTTCCATGTGAAAGGTGTATATATTTTTGTTTTTTTAGCTTCACTTAAAAATATGTATATACTTTTTAGAGCAGTTTTAGGTTGACACCAAAAAGTACAGGGATTTTCCACATACCTCCCCGACACGTTTCCCCTGCTGTCAACAAGCCCCTGCCCTTGCAGAGTGGCAGTAGTACGTGTGTTATAATCGATGAACCTATGTTGCCAGGTCAATATCACCCAAAGGCCCTGGTTTACATTAGGGTTCATCCTTGGTGTTGTGAATTCTGTGGGTTTCTACAAATGTGTAAGATGACATGTATCTGCCATTATAGTATCATTCTGAGTAGTTACACTGCCCAAAAAATCCTCTATGCTCTGCCTTTTCATCCCTCCCTCCCCTCTAGCTCCTGGCAACCACTAATCTTTTTGCCATTTCCATGATTTTACCTTTTCTAGAATGTCATGTAGTTGGAATCTTACAGTATGCAGCCTTTTCAGACTGGCCTCTTCTATTTAGTAATAAGCATTCAGCTTCTTCCATGTCTTTTCATGGCTTGATAGCTCATTTCTTTTTACAGCTGAATAATATTGCATCTTCTAGATGCACTGTAGTTTATCTATTCGTATACTGGAGGACTGTATCCTTTTTTAATGTGTTCAAAGGCACAATTAGGAAACAGTCAAGTTACACTATTCATTCACTGTCCTAGTTGAAAACTGCCTTACTTGTCTTCTTTTTTACTTCTCTAGAAAAAGCACTAAGAGTTTTCCTTGCCATTTGCTGTTCTTTAAAGAAATCTTCTTATTTGGTGATACATCTCCTCCAATAGCTATGCATAAGAAGCTACTCAGAAAAAGTTCTCTAGGCTTGATGGATGAACTAACAAAATGTAAATCAGAAGGCTGGAAGTAATTCGTGTTGATGTCTAATCCCCTAAAAACTTACGATTTTTAACCCCCTGTCCATGGAAAGTTTAAGCTTCCAGAATCTAGTTGTTTGGAGGTCTCTAGTTCCCCAGCCTTCTGACTACCATAGTCGCCTATGTGACTATAACTGCTCCTTGACTTACGATGGGGTCATGACCAGATAAACCCATCATAAGTTGAAAATATTGTAAGTTGACCATGTATATGATCACCTATCCTACTGAACGTCATAGCATTTCCTACCCTACCTAAAACATACTCAGCACACTTGCATTAGCCTCTAATTGGGCAAAATCATCTCACAACACAGTACACCATGCAATATCAGTTATTTACCCATGGAATCTCATGGCTGGCTGGGAGCTCTGGCTCACTGCCACAGTTCGGCATTGTGACAGAGTGTCATACCACATATCACTAGCTAGGGAAAAGTTCAAAATTCAAAATTTGAATTATGATTTCTACCAAGTGTGTATTACTTTTGCACCATTAAGATCTACTCAAGGCAGATTTTAATAATCCTCTTCTTTCTCTGGTTTCTGGCCATTCTGTAGACACTCTCTAAGAAGATATCATCAACCTTTAGGAATAGTTTGACAGTCAAAAACTAGAGCAGCCCAGAAAGCTGAAATGTGAGTGTTAATGCCCAGAAGATGTCTTTGAGTGAGAAATGAGGAATATTTGAAGTTGCCCAGTAGTTTCTCTTAGTTTCTCAGAGAGACATCGCTTCACTTTAAAACTTGGAGCAGAGGTTGGTTCCAGATGGTTTTAAATAGCTGTGTAGATAGAGCTAGGCAGAACACTCAGAAAGCACAGATATTCTTCTTTTAAACTTTAAAACTTAGAGCATTCCTAGGGAAGAGAGAATCTCACCAGGAGAGACTCAATCAGATTTTGTTTATAATTTGCAGGGAGGGTGGCATGGCAAAATGCCAGTAACTGCCCATCTCTTCCTGGTGCATACTGGAAGACCTAATCTCTGTACTTTTTCTACATGTAATTATTATAGTCATGGGCTTCTCATTCAGGTATTTTTAGCTTTTAAAAGTTACAGATTTGAATCTCTCTCAGTCTTTCTTCTCTTGAGACTAAGATCTTAATCTTCATACTTAACAAGCTCCTTTTGGATGTAATTCATGTCATGATTCATCTATATTTCCTGTGAAGTTACTGAAATATGCTGTATCTTTATGTCTTCAACTTGGAGGTATGCAAATATCACCTGATCCAGCAGTTGAAAATATTTCTCAAACTTTTCTGCCTTGCTTTTAGGACCTTCGTTTTTTATCATTGTTAGATTGCAGAAGAAAATTTATTTAAGGGCCCAGATAAGAAACAATGAAAGTGGGCTTTTGAACACAACAGTTCACAGGCCAGATAACCAGTGACATTGGAAAGCAGTCAAGAGTTTCCTTTTCTTCATTGGCAGATAGACACCTGGATTCATTCAGCACAGTCCCAAGCATTGGCAGGCTCACAGGTTTAAAGATAATTTTTTTGTTCTATTTATAGAACAGAGATCAAAACTATCCAGGAATGGTGAAATCTTCCTATGAGAATGGAATAATGAGAATTTTTAGATTTCAAAAATGAAAATACAGAATCTTAGCTTATGTGTGGTTTCAAATCCTGTAGTTCTGACCTATACATATCACAAAGAATGTCCCTTGAAGTTAAAAAGTGGGAGGGTGGGAGAGTTTGGAATAAATAAAATAGTATTTTAGTTGTAATGTAATACTTGTTGCTTCAGACCACATGTGTAGATTTGTTGGTTTGGTGTCGTAGACGATAAGGAGAATCCTTACCAAGGGTGGCATGGCAAGGTGTCCCTCTACCTGCAAACAGAGTTTTAACTATTCAGTATTTGACTAGGCAGTATTATTCAGTGTAATACTTCCTTCTCGTTTTTCAAATGTCCTCAGTGTTCCCTGTAATAAACGTCCATTGGTTTCTGAAAAGTTTAATTGTGAAACCTCAGATATCTGACCACCAGGAAATGCTGTTGGGAGGCTCTTTGGCAATTATAATAATAGCAATAAACTCAGACTCAGTAAAGACAGTTACTGTGATTTCAGGTTTTGAGTAAACAGATGGGAAGCCGCAGATCAGTGTCGCGAGCCAGAGCAGGTGGCAGGTGTTGGTTCTCTGACATTACCCACCTTTCAGAACTCATGAGTCTCCTGAAAGGCTGAGTTAGGTCCACAGGCAACATGGGCAGTGAGAATTATGAGCACAGAGAAGCGTCTTCTTCAGAAGTGAGGTAGGATGGCATCTATCCAACTGTGCCCAAGAAATGCTTTCAGAAAGTGTCCTCCCTTCCCTCCTGTTTTTTAACTCATCCTGAGAACTCCCAGGAGGTATTATGGGTATAAAATAAATTCAGTTACTATTATTTTCTACCCACTAAATGTCTCATCTTACTGACATTAGTATGTGATACCACATGCAACATTGGTTCAGGTTTCCAATCGGAAAAACTCTGTGAGAAACTTTCTATACCAGGAGGTCACCGTGCTCTGTGTGGGGAGCCTGCAAATGTGCCCCACACTTGTGCCACCTACTTTCCTGGGCCGGCACCTGGGAGGCAAGCCAGCCACTCAACTGAAGTGGTCACTGTCTTGTCTTAATTGGCCAGAAGAGCTGTGTGGGCTCCTGAGGCTTGGGAGAGCTGGATTTAAAATAACAGGCTTTGATACCTGAGGCAAGTGGTGCTTTTCCTGTAAAACTGCACAACTGAGGAGACTACAGTTCCAGCCACTGTGGCACCACAAAGCACAGGTGATGAGTTGCTCTTGCTCCTCCAGGTCTGTACTGTGCATATCTTTTTAAAAATTATTTGTTTGTTTGTTTGAGATGGAGTTTATTTATTTGTTTATTTACTTATTTAGTTATTTGAGATGGAATTTCACTCTTGTTGCCCAGGCTGGAGTGCAGTGGCGCTGTCTCGGCTCATTGCAACCTCTACCTCCTGGGTTCAAGCGATTCTTCTGCTTCGGCCTGCCAAGTAGCTGGGATTATAGGTGCATGCCACCCACTGGGCTGATTTTTTGTATTTTTAGTAGAAATGGAGTTTTACCATGTTAGCCAGGCTGGTCTTTAACTCCTGACCTTAGGTGATCCACCTGCCTTGGCCTCCCAAAGTGCTGGGATTACAGGCATGAGCCACCATGCCCAGCCAGTACTGTGCATATCTTAATCCAAACCCCTCTCAGACCAACACCAGCAGTATTCTGTTTGATGACAGGGCTCTTTGAGGATAGAACTTGTGTCTTGCTAGTTATTCTGTCCCTAGGTTCTGATGTAGTACCTAGAATATAGTAGATGCTCAGTAAACATCACCTGGGTGTTGGTGGTAGTGATAAAAGTACTGTAAATAATTTTGGCTAATTTAGAATCTGTGTTAGGCTGTTCTTGCATTGCTGTAAAGAAATACCTGGGGCTGGGTAATTTATTTAAAAAAAAGATTTAATTGGCTTTTGGTTCTTCAGGCTGTTGAGGAAGCATAGTGCTGGCATCAGCTTCTGGTGAGGGCCTCAGGAAGCTACAGTCATGGTGGAAGGTAGAGTGGGGAGCAGGAGTGTCACAAAGCAAGAGAGGGGGCAAGACAGAGTCAAAGGCGAGATGTCACATCCAACCAATCTCATGAGACCTCACTCACCATCACGATGATAGCACCAGGCCATGAGGGATCCACCCATGACTCCAACACCTTCCACCAGGCCCTACCTTCAACACTGGGAATTAGGTTTCAACATGAGATTTAGAGGGGACAACATCCAAAACAAGTCAGAGTCTTGAAGAAACTAAAACAAAAAAAGAATAGTAATTTTCAATGGAAAAGAAACTGTATATGTTTTTCATGTTGATTATTCATGGAGATACATAGATGTCTTTCTTCGTCTAACAAGACTGCCATTAACATAAGGCTCTTCCTGCTTATTGAAAAATGATGGATTTTAGATTTAAATTCACATCTTTTCACAGTTTTTGTTCCTAAACTATGCTCTTCATTAAGAAGCTTGTCATTTGAGTCTCAGCCAAGTGTCCCCTCCTTGGGCAGGCCTCTCCAAACATGCCACCAAGCTTCACAGTCACATCACCCTGTTTTGTTTTCTGCAAAAGGCTTAATCACTCCTTGTATTTTCTTGTTTATTCCTCTATTGTCTTGTCTTTGATGTAAAGCTTCATGAGAGCAGGGCCTTGCCTCTCATACACACTGTTATACCCCCATCACATGGCAGGCAGTGGTCACTTATCAAATACATTGTGGGTAGATTGCCGAGTGGACAGTGCTCCAGATAAACTCTAGAGAAAAGGAAACGTCTAATCTGTGCTAACCTTCTTTGCCAGTTCTGCAGTGTCAGATAGAAGTCCTATTCCCCACTGGAGAAGAGGGGACAATATTTTGTAATAAAGAAAAAAATGTCACCAGCAAATGTCCTTTGCTTCTTCTCCCTGCTTCACCAGCTATACAGATTAAAAGTGGTGAGTGGTTGCCCGGGCTTGTTTTTGGTTGTGAAATGTACACCCCGAGACCATCTCAGATTCGAAAGCCATCAGTGCCACTTACTGTGTGGTCTCTGCGTGCCTTGCGTAGGGGCAGCAGGCAGAGACCCTCAGAGCTGGTTGGTCAGGCTGCTCTGTGGACAGCTAGGCCCACTCACTCATGTACTCTGTGACGCCAAGCTTCAGGTTTGTGCCTTGGCACAATTATGAATGGCCACATATCAGGAACTTTAGAGGTGCTTGGGAATTGTCAAAGCTTTTAATTATTTAACCCAAGACTGTCAGGGAACCACTGTATTGAGTATTTGGGAGAGATGGCTCTTTGAGCACACAGTTGCAGCAGGGACAAGGGGAGAGGGAAGCAAGGGACATTCATATCCCAGCTTGTGAGTCAGGGGACTGGCCACCGTCCCATCTGTTCTCCATCCATTTTACCCCTCTTGTCTACTGTGTTATTTTTCTCTTTTCCCGTCTCCTGTTGTCGCCAAGTAAGGATCTTGTGTAGTGGTCTTAGGGGAAAAATGTAGATAGCACTTAGAATGTGCGTTAGGTTTGATTTTAGCCTTCAAGAATGCCAGAAGTTGCAGTGAATGATTGTTTCTTTATAAACACAAAGAATATTCACAAGTTGTCATTTCTTAGTAAAACATGATTAACAAAATGTACTTTCTGTAGAAATGTTCATATATCTGAATAAAATTCCATTCCGCTCCCTGATGCTTCCGCTCTGATGAGGGAAGGAGTGAGGACAGGGCTGCAGTGGGCCCAGATTCCAGCCTGCCTGACCTCCGCAGCCCTCACAGAGCTATGCTGCTCTTGCACCGTTTCCCAAAGAGCTCAGCCATGTGGAAATCAGTGACAAAAGTAATTGCTGCCTCCAAATATAATTTCTTTACACTCGGTGCAAAAAACCTGCCTTGAGCAAGCAGCATATGAGTTGGAGAGAGAGAAGGAAGTGGTTTTTTAAGTAAAGGAAGATCCCTGGGCCTCTTTACCTTTCTGCTTGAGGGTTGAATCCTAAGCCACTGAGACGGACCTGACAGCCAGGTCAGCCCAGCCTTTGCTCAGCAGGGACAAGGATGCTCCTGGGAAACAGTGAGTGCTGGGTGCCCTCCTTCCCACCTCCCACTCCTGTTTGCTGCCTCCCGCCTCTGCTGGTTAACGTCTTGGCAAGGACAAGCATATCACACACAGAACAAGGAAAAACCAGTGTTGTTTCAAAGAAGAGCACATGGTGAAGGGGGTTGTTGAAACAATGTGGACGATACGTTCATTACTAGGTTCCCTTCAGAATAGAGGCAGGGAACAATTAGGTAGACTATTACCCCAACTTCTAAAGGTGGTAGGTAGCATGGAAAATTGGTGTAGCTGTAACTGTTAGAGATCCGCTAAGAGCTGCATTTGTCAAGAGTCTCAAAAGTCTGTTGATCTCCTTCAAGGCCAAATTTACTAACCTATCTGTCTTAGTCCAGATGCCAGTATTTCACACCTACCTAAAAGGATGTGGGAATAAAAATTACAGGTGCATTTGGTTAATTATGCCCCTTACTTGACATAATTGCAGGCTCAGACAGCCAGGTGGTCATTATTTTGATTGGTCTAATTAGTCAGATGTGTTCACATGCAGCTGCATGCAGTATCCTGGGCAGGTTCAGAAAAGGCACATTAAAGAAAGTCCAGTTGAAGCCTTTTTAGAGCTTGTCCTCAGATGCATAATAAGTTCTTAACAACTAGTATTATTAATGACATCAGCACTTAAAGTACCTTGATGAGAGTTTACGGAGAAAAAGAAAGGGAGAAAGTCCATTCATAGCCAAAGGAAAGCTACCCAACATTGAATACAGGACGGGTGAGTGGTTTCTGGTGTAGCCATTGATAAACCATCTTACTAAGTCAGAAAAGTAGTCCAACCACTATGTTTGTGCTTCATGTATAAAATAGCATCCTCAAACTCCTCTATTAATAAAAACAAAGTGTTATTACGTTTTTATAATTTGAAGCATCACAAGTTTGTGGTGCCCAGCTTAGATGTGTTCCTCAGTAAGCTTTTTAAATCAGAATAGAGATTGCTCCAATACTTCTTACGGCAACGTAAACACTGCAACACTTTTAAAAAGAGTAAAGACTCCCCTGAAGAAAATGAGAATTTATCCTTCAGTACTCAGCCCTGGAGGTACTCAAAAGAAAGCTGTACTTTTGAGTACTCCCAAAAGAAAAACCGTGAAATTATAATAGTGTACAAAGGCGTGATTCTAATCTCCCCACAGTCCTTGTGCTTACATGCTGGCTGGCGTCTCACTAGTGCAGACTCAGCTGCTTTTACAGACCTCCATTTTTCCTGCTGTATGCCTTTTGGGCAACTGCAGCTTCATGTTTTCTTTTTTCCATTAAGACCAGGAAACATTTTCTTGGCCACTTTGTGACTGGATGGTGGTGCCTGTGCTGACTGACAGACTCTGGGAGGGGACAGAATTGCTTGTGCTCGACTGACTGACTGACTGATTGACTGACTTGGAGGGGGCAGTGGTGCCCATATTCTGACTGAATGACTCTGGGAGGGACAGTGGTGCCCATGTTCTGACTGACTGACTGACTCTGGGAGGGGCAGTGGTGCCCAGGCTGTGCCTGACTGACTGACTCTCTGGTTTTATTTCTGTTTAGATGAGATCTGGTTCTCCGATGGGTCCTTATCAGATAAGTCCAAGTGCACAGATCCTGGCCTGATGCCCCTCCCGGACACAGCCACAGGGTTAGATTGGACCCACCTCGTGGATGCTGCACGAGCATTTGAAGGTAAAGACTCACCAGCCACTGGCCTCACCCCTTACCCCAGAGTGCGATCCTGCAGGGCCTGTGCGGCATCTTAGGGGAACATGTCTGTCCTGCATCGTCTGGTCAGAGTTTTGAATGCCTTGCCCTGTTGAATGATGAAAACAAGCAAGGGCAGACTTGGGCTATGACTAGGAACATTTCCTAAGGGAGACCATGTCATTTAGTAAAAGGAGCACTAGGCAAGAAGTCCCAAAACCTGAATTCTAGTTCAGGCACCAACTGGGTGGGACTTCTGTTTTCTTATCTGAAAAGTAGAGGTGATTGTATAGGGGGCACCTGTGTCTTTCCTCACAGGGTATGTTGTCGGGGAGACATTTAGGAGGCGGGAGCTGCTGGGCTTAGCAGGACGAGCACAGGCTGAGGAGTCTGGTCACTTGGTGTAAACACAGACTCCGGTGTGATCGGCTTGACCCATGCAAGTGTCTCTGTCAGGGCCTCGGCCATTTCCTCTAAAAATGTGGGTTGGTGAGGGTAGGTGGGCTAGCCAGGCTCCAGGGGCCATCCAGCTGCCACACTGTCTTCTGTCATTTTTGGTGTTGTGAATATTATAATGTTGAGGCTACCTCCTTTAGGAACACCTTTGTCCAGCTCGCAGAGGAAGGTAGACAAAACAAGGAAGATGCTTGCTTCACCTGCATCCTCCAGACCTCATGGTGATACCACGTAAACCCGTGGCCCTTGGGATCGTGACTTTTATGACTTTTTGCCTGTTAGCGTTCCTGAGCTAGACTTTTATGACTGTTTAACTCGGTGAATGTTAAATAGTAATTCTTTGGGACATGTGTTGAATTAATTTGGTCTTCAGTCTTCTCATCTATAAGGTGAAGAACCAAAGAACCTGTAAAGAAGGCATCATCTAGTCCTAAACCTCTAGTTCTGTGGTTTTGTTGTCAGCAAATATTTCTAAGTTGAAGTAAGAATGTAGGTGGTAGTTGGCCCAGAGGGGAGAATTTATGATGTGGAAATTCTCCCTAGCTACTGCCCTCAGATACATGAATGCCTAAATTAAACAGAAAATAACATAGTATTCTATTTGCCAAAGGAGACGACTTTGGTTATCTGACCTTTAACATTGATAGATAAGATAATGTGGAAGGAGTTAATGCTGTGTTTACTTTTTGATGCTACTCCATGGGGTGGCATGTCATGAAAATTCAGTTGAGAATGTACACCCCCTTTGGCTAATCAGATTCTCTCATATCAGTGTTGCCTCGGGTAGCATCCCAGTGACCTGTTCCACTGTCCCGTGAGTTGCATGGTGGTGACGAGCGTGATCAATCTCCTTGGCGCTTTAAAGAGAAATGTCTTGAGGTAGATAACCCAGTTGCCCTCCTTGTGACTTTATCTTTCTATACCTGTTCTCAAGGCCATTTCTGAGGTAGAGTAAACATTATAAAGAAAAGATGATCCAAAACATGTCCATGTGCTTGTTTATATCATTGTTAGGAACTAACAAAGGCAGTTCAAAATGCATATTGCCTTAGACTAGTCTGGAATAATGCTGTGCCCATACTTCAGTCAGTTCATCTGAAAACAGGCTTGGAAAATGGAATTTACCTGTCTATTGGATTGCGATCCCATGATCCCTATAAAATCCAATAGTGTAATTGATCCCTGGCAGACTTGTTTCTCCCACATTGATCTACCTCATTTATGCTACACATTTCAGTATGTTCACCTTCATTTAAGGGTTAAAGTTGACTTTGGATATGAGTTTAAGAATTTAGATTTTACTGTACCACTTCAGAAGAGAGCAGAGGCACCAAATTAAGCTGTCAAATCATGACTACTTAAGTATGTTTAAACTCTGTTAGTGCAAGGACCATGCTAAATGGTATGGTTGTGGGTGAGAGCCAGGCATTCTGTGCACAAGGACTCAGTATGCTGCCTCCAAAAGGGAGGCATGTTTCCAGACCACATTGCTGACCATAAGTCAGTGGTAATAGAATTAAGTAAGAAAAACAGAAGCAAAACAAAAAAAAACTGACCATTTAGAAAGTTTTAAATGTAATTCTAATAATAATTCTTCTGGGAAGAATTAATATGATGAGCAATTTTTTTTAGGATTATGAAAAAGATGCTACCTAAGTCTGGACTACACCCAGAGAAAGTGTAGTTTTAAAGAAAAATATATTTCCCAAACATGTATTTCAGTGAAAAAAAGGGGAAATTAACTAATTTAACTGTACTTCAAAAAGAATCCACAAAAACTGTGAAAGAAAAACACACAAGGAAAGCAAAGGAATGAAATAAGTTGTAAAAAAAAAAAAAAAAAAAAAAAAAAAAAAAAAAAAAAAAAAAAAAAAAAAAAAAAAAAATTTAAAAAAAAAAAAAAAAAAAAAACTGGCAAATGAAATTTCACTGCAATTTATAAATAAAACTAACAAGCTGTTTTTCTTTGAATGTTGATAAACCAATAGCAGATTTGATCCAAAATATAAAAAGTACGAATGAACCAAATTAGAAAGGAGGTTAAATTAACATGAGAAAAAGACAGTGGGACTGAAATGAACTATAGAACTGTGCCATCTCCCTGAAGAGGACAATGGGCTCTGCCTTACTCCTCAGCCCCAGACCAACTGCAGTGACTCGTTATTACCTCTAGGATAGGAATGTTATTACCTCTCCCTGGCTTGGATTATGGGAGTCTTGCACTCCCCACCATAATGCAAACCAGGCCAGCCTGAACCATAAAATCTGGTCAAGATGAGACCCTGTCCTTACTCAAGAACTTGGTTTCCTGTAAATCTAAATATCTAACTGCACAGTATTAGTAATCAGCTGTAGAGGCTGAAGGAAACCTGTCAAAGGACAGTCTAGAGATGCAAGCTCAGAACACTCTCCTTAGTTCACTTACACACACAACCTGCCCACCTTAGCTGATCCAGTTGTGGGGCTTTGTATTTACCCAGAAAATTACTTTTCTGTCTTTAATGATATAAGATGATGCACTTGATCACTTAATGTTATGCACATCTTGTCAGCCTACTTGGCTGGTTCCTTCTGCACAAAAAACAAGTACACAGTCATAACCCCCAGCTTCTGGCCCCACGTGGATCTCAGTCCTGTATATTTTCTAATTAGTATGTTCTCTGGGTGACATTTAAAAAAAGAGACATACAGATTTTTTTAATTACTAAGGAATGTCAAGCAGCTATATAGGAGTACATTTGGTGGATAAGGTACTTAGATTATTTCTTGCAAGAAAACATGGCAGGGAGCAAAAGAAACAAAGGCCAAAGTGTGGAAGGCATTGAAAAAGTCGCCCAAGAATATCCCCAAACACCAAATATTACTTGAAACCACCAAGTTTACAGTTAATCGTTTTCAGAGTTTCAGAGAATAATGATACCCGTGTGTGTGTGTGTGTGTGTGTGTGTGTGTGTATGTGTGTAAATTCAAAAGTAGCCTTCTTGCATGATAGGATTCTTTCCTGATACACATGAAAGATAATTATAAGACAATATCAGTCTTTATATTAGTATGAGAAAGCTTAGATGAAATTCAGTGGTAAATTGAAAAGATTATGCATTGTTATTGGCAAGAGTTTAGTTTAATAAAAGAAAAACTTTTATTAAAAAGTTATAGTAGGTGAAGTAATTAAAAGCTATATCAATTTGCCCCAAAAAGTATATCTAATAGAATTAGAACCTATTTTTTCTAAAACTTAAAATTTGAGAGATGCCCCCAAAGGCTAATATCTACTTTATTCCAAATGGTTACATAGTACTTAATAGAAAAATGTTTATAAGCAGATTGCTTATGTCCAGAAACTAAATAAGTATACTTTTTGAGACTGTGCCCTTTAATTTTTGTACTGGAATCCGTGACATTTAAACAAGGAATGCAATGAAAAAGGTAATCAATGTTGGAGATAAAAAAAATTTTACATAGGATTTTTTACACAGAAAATATGAAAAATCAAAATGAAGTTTAATTAGAGATTATAAACTAGGTAATTAGGTTATTTTGAAATTTATTTTTATAAGCATCATTTTGAAGTGTTGTTAAATTTTTTAGTATCTACTGCTGTATAACAAACCACCCCCAAAATTATGGCTAAAAACAACAATAGTTTATTATTTCTCATGATTCTCTGGGTTGACTAGGCTCAGCTGGGTGGTTCTTCTGCTCCATATGTTCCTAGCCAGGGTCACTTAAGCAGCTGTGTGCAGCTGGAGCTCAACTGGATCTGGAGCATTAAGGAGACTTCACTCAACCTGTCTGTCTGGAATGGCTGAGGCCTAGTGAGACCCCTGCCTTCAGCAGAGTTGTTGTATTTATTCATATGGGACTTAAGGAATTAGAAGAGCAAAGCAGAAGGTCTGTGATGTCTTAAGGCCTGGTTTTGGATGTCCCAGAACATTATATTCACCACCTTCTATTTAGGTCAAAGGAGTTCACAAGGCCAGTATTCCAGGGTTGGGAGATAGAATCTACCTCTTGATGGCAGGAGTGGCAGGTGCATACAGGGAGGGAGGAGTTGTTGGCAGCTGTCTTTGCAGACAGCTCTTCACTGTAATAGTCACAAGACACCTTAGATACATCAGTAAGATTGAATGAACATGTTCTTTGAGAAGTAAACCATCATCAGAATTATGAGAGAATGCCAAGGAACACTTTAATATCGAAAAGTCTTAATATGTAAGACTAGAAATGGATAGAAAGCTTCATAGTAAAGATGACAGTTTTCCCTGAATTAACTTGTAGAGTTCATGCAGTTTCAAGAAAAATAGTTAAAGAACTAAATTTGCCACCATTTGGAAAATAGGTAAACGATATTCAACCAAAAGTTCTATTATAACTTAATAATAATTTAAACAGCATAATAATTCAAAAATAGGGTTAAGAATTTTTGAAGATTGGGAGGCCAAGGAGGGTGGATCACGAGGTCAAGAGATCGAGACCACCCTGGTCAACATGGTGAAACCCTGTCTCTACTAAAAATACAAAAAAAAAATTAGCTGGGCATGGTGGCTCAAGCCTGTAGTCCCAGGTACTCGGGAGGCTGAGGCAATAGAGTTGCTTGAACCCAGGAGGCGGAGGTTGTGGTGAGCCGAGATCACGCCACTGCACTCCAGCCTGAGTAACAAGAGCAAAACTCCATCTCAAANAAAAAAAAAAAAAAAAACAATTTTTGAAGAAAAATTAAGAGTTCAGACAGAAATCTGAATTTAAGAGTTACGTAGGAAAGGAATTTATGTAGTCCATTTGGATTTAGGTATTTTAAAAGTCAATTTTAGAAAAACTCAGAGTAAGATTACCGTTTTGGAAGCAAGATTATGCTTTAATTATGGAGTAGTGAGAGAACATACAAAACGTAATATGGTCAGATAAAGGTATTTAAATATTTAGATCTTTTATGAACCTGAAAGAGAATGTTAAAAGAGGAAATAGTGGATGTTAGGAAAAGATTTCTAAAGAATGTGTTAGGTAAAACCAGGATACCTAAAGTACATAAAGGAACTTACCCAGCAAAAAAAACACCAAACCCACAGTAAACAAATGATCAAGGCATGTGAATACAAATTTCACAAAAGACAAATGCACAATAAATAAGGTGAAAATTGTTCAACCACACATGTAAATTTAAAGAATAATGAGCTACCAGCTTACACTTTTTGAATATGAAAAATGATACAGTAGCTCTGGGAAGCTATGAAAAATACTCACAGCTGGTATCATTATAAAGATTATAAAGTTATCCATCTTTTTGTTCAAGCAATATGTTAATATGTTACTAGTGCCAGAAAACTGTACCCACCTTTTGACCAGAAATCTAATTCCTGAGAATTTGCTGACAAAAAAAATTAATAAAAAGAATTTAAAAGCTTCCAATAGAAAATATTATGCATTATTAAAATTTTATTTTAATAAGTGATCAAGTAACATATCTCTACCCAAACAGCTATTATTAAAAAAAAAAAAAAAAAGTCCTTCATAGTCTAAGAAGGCAAAAAGTAAGTAAGTTAGATTCCCTGTGCGTCCCCCATGGTGTGAAGGTCAAGTTTGAAAAGCTGACTGAGTCCCATTTTAGACTTTGTTTTAATGTATGTGGTTCTTTTGTTTGGTGGAGGGCAAGATGTATCCTTTTTACATGTCAGAATTCCTACGTAAAATTGACTGTCTATCTAGTTCAATAAGATCATCGTTTTGGCACCCTGCAGTGCTTATCATACCCTTTGTTATGCAGAATCATGTCAAGTTTGGGGGTACCTGATGATGTATATAATGGCTTTCATCCCCCCTTAAACATGGTAATGGGAACAAACCCAACTAGAAAACCTGGCTGTGGGTCAAACTGAAGCTGGGGAAGGGAAGTGCAGTCTGTTCAAAAGCTCTAGGATTTCGAGTAGCTCTCATTCATCAGAGTATCAGAAAGAGGCAGCTGCTATGTTTTTAGCATTTGTTGAATGGATAATGTTGTTTTCAGTGAACATAGGCTTCAAAGGTAAAATGACCAACTAATGATCTTAGACTCTGGATTCCATGTCCTTGCCCCACGAAGGCCTGCCCTCCTAGGTTTCCATGCTTTCCCTGTTGGTGGTGGAGATCGCCATCTTCCTATAGCTGTTGGGATGCATGTATGTGTGTGTGCTCCTGCACAAATATGAATGTGAAAGACACATGCAGAGTTAACAATTCACATGCCAGGCACCACTGCGGCAATGAAATGCTCCACAAAGCATATTTTCCAAAAATTCTAAGTCTGTATCTTTAATTTGTTGTGTTCTATAGGCCCTTGGTTTCTTAAACAGAGCGTAATAAGCATCATTTTTTATGATGAGAACTTTTTCTATTATGAAGCTTCAGCTTAAAGTTGATAAAGTTGTTATAATTATTGATATTTGACCACTGTGTGTATGAGAGAGAGAGAGAGAGAGAGAGAGAACAAGTATAAACAAAATGTGAATTAATGGTAACATAATTAGTGGAAAAAAATGGAAAGAAAAATGACTACTACATGGATGAAAAATACAAAGTCAAATTTGGAATAGTAAATCCATTTAAATTATCTCACAAGTAAATTAAAATTGTTTCAGGCCAATGCAATAGTTGTTTCTTAAAGAATAATTTCAGGACTTTTTCTTGTTAATTACTCATAGGCAGATACTAGACCGTTATCTTTCTACATGCATGGATAAGCTTCCAAAGGCCTAAACCAGAGAATTTTAGGTGGAAGATAGTACAGTGCAGCTTTTTTTTTTCCCTTTCCTAGTGGCCAGTTAAGTCTGTTTTCTGCAGTGCAATAAGCATAGGTGTCAGAATCAAAACTTTTAATTTTCTACATGTAGCTACAAAGCCCTGCTTTGTCTTTAATTTGCAGTTCTAACAAAGACATATTAGAACAGCATTGTGGAAATAGGTTTAATCTAGCCTGGTACTTGAATGTCCCATTTGAAATGTATCTGGGGCAGGTACTATTGTTCTATTCCTCACCCTCGACAGACATGACGCATTGATCAGGCCATTCACCCCCACCGATCCAGCCTTGGCCTTATGTTATAGGTGCTGTAGGCACCCTAGACAGGGTCATGGGAGTGACTTGCAGTCATCTGTTTTGCCATCTCAGCTCGAGGATATGGAATAGCCTGTTGACTTTTCATCTTCCTGTTTAGTGCTAAATGTACTAAAAATAAGAAGGTTTTTTAAAAGATTATTTTAAAGGATGGATTGTTTTGTGTGTCAGCCATACCCAGTGTTCCACCTTAGCCAGATCTGCTTGCACTGGAAAGAACAGGAAAGAAAACAGAAGAGTCTACACATGTGGAATGCGGATGATTGGCTCTGTACCAACGGCACATGAAGTTCCTGCTCTTGTGCCTGTCTTTTCTGATTGTTTTGTTTGTGCCTTTTGGTTCTATCTCAGTAATCACTTGATTATTGAATATTTATCATCACAGAAATAAGCTGTAGGGGCATAAAGCTTCCACTGGAAACTGTCTCTAATATTAGCTATTTTATAAAGTAAGTTCGCGTCTATACTTAATCAAGTAGCAGCATTCTGTTTGTATTTCAGCCGCCCAAGCTTTTCCAATCCAAAGTGAAATCCTGTTTGTGAAATTACATTGCTAGCAAAACTCTCCTTTTGGCTTCTTGCGTCCTGACCGGTAGGACCTTGTTTCTCCCCAGGGAATGTCTGAATGACTGCTGGTAGCAAATTCTGATTTGTGTTAAATATGTGGGTGTTTTATCAATTAAGGTAAAAACAGATGAAGGAAGCTGAGGCATGTTCATCCATGTGTTTAGACTTGACCATCAGACCCAAATATATTAAGAAAGATAGAAAGGTAACTGAATTATTACTGGCTTGCATAAAATGAGGGTGAGCCAATGAAACTCTTACACAGTTAGACAAATTCTTTATCCCTTTTCTTTTCCATTTCTTTTCTGGTCAGTAAAGTCACCATGGAATAAAAAATATATCTCCTAATGATTTTTTCAAATGTGATGTGTTCCCATATTCTGGGCCCTTTACAGAACAGAGGGTTGGTTATGTTGGACACCACTGCAGCCCAGGCCTCCCCTCCCCGTCCCCTAGAGCAGCTCAAGCCCAGCCAGGATTCTGCCCCCAGCTCTGCTGTGCACATCACATCATATGTAGAAGTTGGCAGGGCCCCAGTTATACTGTTGATCTTAATTAAATTGCAAATTACTTTAGGCAAAAAGCCTACTATGCAGTACCAAATTGGTAATATGACTCTCTCTCAGGAATGTATAGTTACAGAATGTTTATCATCTTACAAAAGATTTGATGTATGGAGCTTTACAGAAAGGTTAGTTGAAAGATGTCTGCCTGCCTAGGGCAGGTGTGTTAGCAAAGGGGGTCACGTGGATGGAGAACTGATCAGTAGCTGGGTGCACTCAGGAGGGCCCAGGCTACTGTCAGGGCACTGATGGTGCCTTTGGCACTATGACCACAGCCTACAGCCTTGGCTTTCCTTCATGTGTCCTGGCAGCTTCAGTGACACCATCCTTTTTAATTAACTGGAAGTGTATGACCTGCCATAAAGCAAACAAGCAGGTAGTCTCATTAGGAGCCTCTTCCAGCAGCCAGAGGGAGGCAGAGTGGGGTAAATTAAGAACAGAGCACCCCTGACACAGACCCAAGTGCAGTCTCTCCAGCATTAATCAGTTCACAGGAAAAGGACTGCCATAGCACTGACACATCTGCTATGTATCTCAGTTCCTACTGTAGATACATACATGTCCTCAGAAACCAGAGAGACTCCAGGGAATTGGGTGGCGTTGGGGGGTGATCACTGAATAGATTGCTTGGTTCTCACTTCCATGTGGTTCAAAAACAGAATATTCTTCTGCATGCCATTCAGCATTTCTGAAACTGTTCTTGGTCAGCGCTCAGCCCCCAGAGCCAGGCCAGTCTGGCACTCATTCTTAAGGCTATTCTATTCCCTTTCCTTCCTACCTCTTAAAACATTGAATGTTAAGTTCCTAGTGCCAAAAATAGAAATGTCCTTGTGCTATGATAAGGCATTGTAGTCATACGGATCATTAGTACTACTGCTGTAAATACAGTGCCCCTCGGATCTTCCTTTAAGAGTTTCTAGTGAGATTACTTAGCTAGTCTCTCTCACACCTCTCTCTTTGCATTTGTGGAGTGAGTTATTTAAGTAAGCCCACAAGTGTGGTGTATGCTCATGGTCAGATCCATGTGTATATGGCATACCATGTGTCTTTGTTGTACACTACAGCCCTGCTTCCAACCAACAGTGAAAACAGACATGCAATGTGTTATCTCATCGCATTGGCGTTACATGATACTGGCTCTCAAGGGTTTCCCCTGGTCCATCAAACACACCCACACCCTGTACTTCACAAAACCACATTTTATGAAAAGCCTTGTGTGGGCCCCAGAGATTCTCAAGTACAGAGAGATACTTCTGTTCATAGGAAAATTCTAAATCTTATTTCAGGTCTTGACTCAGATGAAGAACTGGGGCTGCTCTGTCACCACACGTCCTATCTAGGTGATTGTCTGGGGCTGCTCGTTGGCTCCTGATATCCTGTGACCTTTTCTGTATATTTCATGTGTCTGCACGTCTGCATGGTTATTCTCGCTCTGAGGGTTGGGGGTGCACAGCGGGACATGTGCCCTGGCTGTTCTGTCTCAAGAACCTTCTCCAGGTTTGGGGAGAACTTGAGAGAGAGGTCCCTCTCCTTGGTTCTGTCAGTCGAGTCATTATCCAACTATTATTTCATGCATAGCCAGCAGCTTTGGCATTCCTTGGGATGTGGAAAGAAGAAAGCAAATTGGCTTTAGCAATCCCGTGTCTGCTAATTGTCCCCATGGCTGTGATGTGCGTAGGCTATCCAGCCCAGAAGGACAGCCAATCTCCATGCTTTCTCCTTCTCAGCAGCTTGCCTGAATTTATTTTTCTTCGTTTTGTTCCAAAACAAGGCAGTAACTGATTTGAAGGGGGGGGGAAAGATTTTATTTAGCTACTGCATTCCAACAAAGAAACATTGCCTTGCAGTGATTACTAACCTTTCTTTCTGTGTGTGTTTCTCCCCTCCCCAGACCAGAGGGTGGCATCCTTCTGCACCCTGACAGATATGCAGCATGGGCAGGACCTGGAAGGGGCCCAAGAACTGCCCTTGTGTGTAGATCCAGGCAGTGGCAAAGAGTTCATGGATACAACTGGGTATGTGAGCCCCTGTGGACCCCCTGCCCCTGCTGTTCCAGGCATGATTAGCAAAGATTCGGCTAACTGGCTAACCTTGAGCCAGGCAGGCAACCATATTCCACTGTGCCCTTTCCCAATCCTGAAGAATCCAAAGAAGGGACTTGGCTCCCTGCCCTGCTATTGGAGACCACACTTGGCTGCATGACCACTCTGCTCCATGGGCACACCCTGCCTACCAAGACTTGTGACCCTGTGCCCACGATGACTAGCCTCACTGTCAGAGAGGTCAAGAAGGGGCCTCAAGGTCAGCGTCTGCTGCCAAATTACTGCAACAGCACCAGGCAGGGATAACTTGCTGATTGGCCTTCCACCTGCCAAGCTGCACATGCTGACCAGCCCAGGGCATGGCTCCTCCCAGAACTTGATCCTTGATCCGGCCTCATGCCCTCCATTGAAATATGTTGGGAACGCCCCACTCTTTTCCCTATATTTATGACATGTTCATTCCCCATAAAATGTGTGTTCTTTACCTGTGTCATCCATTCTTAATTCTAACTTCTGTATGAACTGAATATAAAAGTTGGAATTAACTTCGTTAACTTCCATGTTCACACTGGTAATGAGCTGCATAATATTGTCATCGTTGGGAAAGGGAAATTGGGGAAATTGATTACTTGGTTCCCAGGACTTCATTTGGGTCTACCTTGTTGTGTCAATTGGCTAAACTAATTTAAATAATGTATCTTTTGTTTTCCTACCAACCTTTATATCTATAGAGATTCTGAATCTCTTTTTAAATCAGCGAAGTCCCAAAATGGGCTTTGCACTAGAGCAGCAATATGGACACTTTCCCAGTCTGACATAATATAATATATCTGCTTGCTGGGCTCTAAGCTCATGAAATAATTTTTTTGAGTGTAAACTTGACTAACAAAAATGCTGAATTGACTCTTGAGTTCTAATTCTATACTTATTTGCTAGGGAGCGTTCTCCATCAACACTGACGGGTAAAGTTAATCAGCTGGAATTAATTCTTCGACAACTCCAGACCGACCTTCGTAAGGTAATCTATTGGATGAGCATAATCAGAACTCTTTCTCCTACAAAATCAACCTTTTGTAATGACTACATATAAATTGAAGAAACTCAGGAAAGGAAACTGCCCTACACAAACCAATAATAAATAGAAACAGATGCTCCTGAAGTCTCACTCCATCTGCGGACCTGCAGCTGATGTATTTTATTTTGCGGGGTGCAGGGATCTTGACGGATATGAGTAAACAAGGATGAGCCTGTGGTGTGGCCAGTCTTCACTGTGAAGTAGAAGCATGGTGGGCCAGCATTTTTTAATTCAGTGAGTTATCAGTTGCACCAACTCTGTATAAGGACCTCAGAGGAGTCCATTGTTGCCAGGAAGCCTGGTCTCTCTGAGTCCTGTCCTCTGCCCGAGACAGCTTCACAGTACTCAAAACTTCTGCTCCATACATCAACCTGCGCATGGTCCGTCCTCAAAAGAAATTAAATCCTGTATCCTGTAAATACTTGCCGAGCTCTGTTCCATCAGCCCTGTTCCAGAGAGCCACTTGGCTGTCCAGGGAAACAGAATGGGGTGCAGTAGCGAGCGGGAGGGCGTCACAGAAAGGTTTTTGTTGTGATGGTTTGGTTTGGCTTTTGAAGGAGGGAGAAATCGTAGCTGGTGAGAAGCTGAGGAAAGGATTCAGTTGGGAGGGAAATCATGATGAGGGTGACGAGCAAGTGGGTGGAGTTCTGATCTAGTCACAGTGAGGGAGCTGGGCTCGGATAGGAATAGGGTCAGCTCACACACAGTTACCAGAGCAGAGCAGAGTATGTGTGTGTGCGTATGTGTTCATATATGCATATGTTCATTCACATACACATAGTCCAGACAGAGATGTTGGCAAATTTCTCTGATTGTTTCTTTTTTTTCCTAGTTATGAGCTGAGAGTGAGTGGTGGGCAGGAGTACAAGAGCTTTGTGGATAGAGGATACAGGTGTACCGCAGCATGTAAACCATCAGGTAGATTTAGGAGACTTGCCAAACAAAGCTAAAGCACATTTGAATTTGGAGCATAAGTTAAAGCGATTTCTCTTTTCCTGGTTGTGTGTTTTTTCCCCAGCTTGGGTGACCAGTTGTCCCAGTTGGCCCGGGATGGATAAATTTTCCAGGATATGGAACTTTCCGTACTAAACCCAGCAAAGTCCCATGCAAGCTGGGGTGGCTGGTCACCCTATCTCAAGCTGCAAGTGTAGAATCGTTGGAGATTTGAATTTAGCCAATATTAAGGTTTAGACAGGAAATCAGGAGGAGAGAGAGAGAGAGAGAGAGAGAGAGAAGGACCCTGGGATGTATACAGGGCATGAATAAATCCAAGGACCTAGAATCCAAGCCAGCTGAAGAGAAATAATGTCACTGCTGGGGAATGGCTGGGGACGGGGGTGTTGATGGGCAGTGTAAATAAGAGTAAGATTGATAATATTGATGAATTCTGTCATTGCTGGAGGAGTAGATACTGGAGAATTTATTTTTAAAAGCAGGAGGTGGTGACCAAGAAGTAGGAACTTGAAACTTTTAGAAAGATGTGCAGTCATTGACAATAACATGGTATAGGGTGTGGGCATGACAGTGGGAGTTGAGGAGGGCTGGATTTGAAGGTCACTGAGAGAAAGCGATGGAGAGGCTGAATGGCCAGAGTGTTAGATGGAACATCTCAGTGGATTCGAAATCATCAACACAGATGATGGGGTGGGGTGTGGAGAAAAGAGCAAATCAGGTTCTAGAATCTACCCTTAATGATGGTTGCAACTGGGGGTACAGTAGATAATTGTAGCCGGCGGCGGGTAGCAGGTCTCATGACATAATGGCACGTTTTCCAGAGGAGCTGGAATTGTAGGAAGGAGCAGTGATCCGGCCTGAGCAATGGAGAATGGGCTGTCTGCCTGCCCGACCCCTGTAGTGAGCTGCTGGGGACAGTGTCCTCAGGAAGGAGCCAGGATTCACTTAGAGCATGGAGAGGGAGGGATTTCAGGAGGAGAGACTGAGCGTGCACAAAGTCTTCATGGCAGAATCCAGGTTCCATGGGTCACAATAAAAGGTTTGCAGGGATGTGGAGAGGTGGGCAGCCAAGTTGCAGTAGAGATGTTCTGAGCTGTGGGACTCAGACTCTTGGGAAAGAGAGTCGTGGTGAGGAGTGTCCAGGGAGTGTCAGTATCCAGGGTGGACTGCAGGTGCTCCTTACAGCGAAGTGAGTCACCAGCTGTGATTCAGGCCTCCTCTGGGGACCAGGGTCTTTCAGGTCAGTGGCCAAACAGGTGGTATTGGGGAGGGCCTCAGAAGGGATCAGGAAACAAGGAAGTCTTGAGGGCAGGAGCGGACATGCCACCGAGGGTGGGGGCGTCCACTCACCTCACTCTCAGTGCTCCTGCTCAGTGCTGGCAGGTGGCATCTGGTGACATTAGCGGTTGAGTTAGATTCCATTACAAAAGTACCGATTGTTACAATCTGACGATGACCCCTCTATCCATTTAGGGGAAGGCATCCTTTTCAGCAGGTGGGGCCTGAAACTGGTGCTGTATGTTTTTTACTGCTCTATGTTGGAAACTCCAGATGTGATTCTTCTGAAAATCTTGATTATTTTTACATAGTTTTTAATGGCAGACTTTAAGGGTCATTATGGAAATATAGTATAACAGGAAAGTTTAAGATGGAATGAAAGACCTAAGTACATATTTTATTATAAACATATGTAACAGCTATGCTGATACCAGTTTTTTACTTAGAAAGCTCTGTGCATTTGTCAAAGGATATTACCTTTAACCTCACTGTCTCCCATTTTTGGATGGAGGGTAATATAAACTATGATTAACCCCTTCCATCTTAGCACCCCTTGGGAGCAGAGTGGGATGAAAGAACAGGGTGTGTGGAGTTGTTCATTCCCATCCCTTTGTCAACAGCAGGATCAGGCAAGTCCTCTTACTGAACAGAGCCACCCTTTCTCCCCTCAAAAAGTAAATAAGTAAAAATAAGAATAAAAGATTCTTATAGCCCAGCTTAGGAAGAATGACCATTTCTGTCAGTCACCATGACTCAGTTTGTTTCTACTCTGACCAGGAAAAACAAGACAAGGCAGTTCTCCAGGCAGAAGTGCAGCACCTGAGACAGGACAACATGAGGCTGCAGGAGGAGTCCCAGACCGCGACCGCTCAGCTGCGGAAATTCACAGAATGGTTTTTCAACACCATCGACAAGAAATCTTAGCCAGTCCGCACCTCATCAAGGGACTGTTGGGAAATGCCTCTTGTCCTTTGAAGTCACAAACGTGGTTTTTATGTGTGCTTTCAGCCAATCGTAGATGTCTTTGCTGTTCCATTCTGTGTAGCACCATTCACCACAGCAGGATAGGGAGTCTCGACTCTTTCTCGGTAACCACAGCAGAGAGCAGCACCGATGTGAAGATGAATGAATGTAACTCCTGGTGTGAAGATGAATGTAAATCCTGGCGATAGTTGAGACCTTTTTCTTTTAGACTCTGCTAAAACAATGCTCTGGCTTGGTTTTATTTCCTATATATCAGGTGACCTGGTAGAGACGTAAAGCAATTTACCATAGTTTGGGCTTTAGTATTGTAAAATAAACATGAAAACAAATAATCAGACATATACTTTAATGTTAAAGGTGCTCTATTTTTTTGGATGTACAGTAGTTTTATTTCCACAGCCACATTACCATAGCAATAAGAAAGGAGGCATAGTAAATAGTTGGAAAAGCTTTGTGGGGGGATTAAAAAAAAAAAAAGCACTGATGTGTTTAACACTAGTTCAAATGCAGTTACCTTAGAGACTTATTTATTTGCAGGAACAAATGGTGCCTGAATATTAACAGTGTTCTGATTTTAAAAAAAAAGATACATATGCCTTGTAAATGGCTCACCGAGTTGTCAGTAGTCACTTAAAATCTTAGTTCACGTTTGTATAGTTGTTCTGCTGGAAAAAAAAGAATGAATCTGCTTACTCACTAGAACTTCCCTGTGTGCCGTGAGCCAGCGGAACCACTGGTACAATGCCAGATTTGTTTATCTTTGTACAGAAGCTTTGATGAAGTGTCTTGTATTTAACACCCTTATTTAAGCTTATTTAACCTTAAATTGTTAATTTTATAAAATTGGGTTTGGCCTGTACTACAGTGAGGGATAGAGGTAGCTGCAGGCTCAGAAGAGACCGGGCTTGCACAGATGAGACCGAGAAGCAGGGTGAGGAGATTCTAACAACTGGATGCTGCTAGTAACACGTTGTTTGTATTGCTTTACCATTTTTAACTGTTATATTTGAGATGAACATACATTTTGCTTTTTTAATAAATGTTTAAAAGAAGTCCACATAAGAAATGGTGTTGTCAGGTGACTGTAGATTTTTTATGATCTGACATATGAACAACCTGACTGTATGTGAATTTATTTCAGGTCATTTAGGACCTTGATTTGTATTAAATACTGTTTAGCTGCCTAATTCTGTGTAGAATCCCAGACTGATTTCAGGAAAGAGTAACTAGTTATTAGTAGCTGCTATGTGCCAGACACTATTCTCTGAACTTTTCATCCATCTCATTTAATCTCGACAGCATCTTTCATAGGTGAGAAGTGGGGTCCCCATTTACAACCACATGAACTGTGGCTCAAGTGAAGTAATTTACCCAAGATTGCCTTTAAAAGAAAAAAAGGCATTTTATTTAACAATTAGGTGTTGCTAGAACTTTGGGAGGCCAAGGCAGGCAAATCATCTGAGGTCAGGAGCTCAAGACCAGCCTGACCAACATGGAGAAACCCCATCTCTACTAAAAATACAAAATTAGCTGGGTGTGGTGGCACATGCCTGTAATCCCAGCTACTCAGGAGGCTGAGGCAAGAGAATCGCGTGAACCTGGGAGGTGGAGATTGTGGTATGCTAAGATTGCGCCATGGCACTCCAGCCTGGCGACAAGAGCCAAACTCCCTCTCAAAAAAAAAAAAAAAAAAAAAAAAAAATCAGTGTTTGAAAAATTATCAGGAAGAGGTAAAAGGTAAATTTGAATCCAGTGTAAGACAGAAGACAAAAAACAGATGTGAAGGGAAACACCGTAAGGTCCATTGCTCTCAACCTTCAAAGGACAGAAGGCGTATCAAGAATTCAGAGGAAGCTAACAGACTCTTAGAATTGGCCCTAAAAGCAATTTTCCATATGGGCTTCACATGAGAGGCATGTTGAACAGTTAGCGTTCTCACAGCAGATGTAGCCGTAGGCCTCCTAAGGCTGTTTCACGCAGCTGCCCTCTGTGAAACACACAGGTGCACTTCCAAGATGCAGGCACTATAGATTTTCAGGGAATAGGACATGATGGGCCACATAGATACCATCCTTCCACCTTTCCTCTCTTTTTCTTTCCCATCATTGTGAACCAGGCAGCATGTGAGGAGCTAAAAATCCAGTGGGGATCAACAGGGGTCAGGGCCCCTGTCTGCGCAGGTGTACAGTCTAATATGGGGAGACAGGCACAAGAACACTTCAAAACATGAAAGAGAAAGAAAAGGACCTGCACCAGGCTACCTTAAGTAACTGTTATAAACACTGACCCTGTTTGAATAGTTCCTGCGTGCCGGCTTCTGCTGAGCATTGTGTTACCTACCAGCACCCCTGTGAGGTAGGTGCCACCATCACTCCCTTTTTAAAGAAGAGGAACTAGGCCCTAGATAGGATGGTCCATGGGTAGACGAGGGCACACAGGGTTCTGAGTCCCTAAAGTTAGTTTGTGCAAGAAATCTAGCAGAAGCCAGGACCTAACGGAGGGTAAAGTGCTGGGAGATGTGCTTGAAGAGATCAGCAGCAGCCATACCACGGAACTGGAGGCCATGGTAGAGCCTCGATTGTTCTAAGTCAAAAGGAAGCCACTGACAGAGGAAGGCTGCTTAATAAGAGCTATATTTTAAATGGATTGTTCTGACTGCTAACGGAGAAGGGACTGCGCAAGCCCTCAAACTTCTGGATGGGGCTTTTTTTGTATAAAACCTATTTTAAGCTTTGGGAGTCACATACTGCCTCTGTTGCGTATTTTTACATTTCTATTTAATACCCTTTAAAGATGGTAAGAGCCGTTCTTAGCTTGCAAGACCACACAAAAACAAACCACTCACCAGTATAATTTACCAATGCCAGGTACAAGGCAGCGTACGCGAGGAAGACCAGCCTGGGTAAGAGATGGTGTTGGCGTGGTCTGTGGCAAGGCAGTGAAAGTGGGGAGAAGTGGTTCGCCACACGTGAGAATTTATTTGGAGCCCACGAAAATGTTGATGGGTTGGAGACGAGTTGGAAGGGCTGGATCCAGGGATAAGCCCTACACTTCCAAGGAGTCGATGAACTGCGTGTTCAGACGGTTTTCCATAAATAACTCTTGCCTTTAGTAAAGGGTTAACAACAGACATGTTCCTGGCAAGGGTCTGGAATACAGCTCTTCTGTGTCTTTGATCAAGGGTGGATGCATTTGCTTTACAGCAATTAATCAGCTGGAAAGGTTGATGTCATTCAGAGAAAATAAAGGAATCTGACCAAAACCTAGCTGAGTGGAAAGCCATTCCGCCTTCCTAGGCATACCTGAGGACAGGACCAGAAGATAGTTCTTGAAAACAGTCCTCAGTGTATACTAGCAAAGGAATGAATAATCTCTCTCAAGCCTGTCTCCAGAGGGCCATGCCAAAAAAACAGCCAAAATGATTTGGGTCTGTTAAGCTTTTTCAAACATATTACCAGTCAAAAACCAAACAACTGCATGCTCCCATAGTACGTGTAGTTTTGAACAACTTGGTGTCCTTGTGAACACTGTTAAAATATGTACTCCTTAACAACTGAACATTGCTATAATGACTTCCTGGATATAACCCAAATATTTAGTGGAATATATCTGCTAAAAAGTTTATTTTAGAATAATTAAGCAGGTTTTTCTAACCACATGGAGTGAACAATTATGTATTAAGCCATTTTAGTATGTGACAAAGTTAACTAATGTACTGGGCCTTTATCCTGCTATTCTCTATAGCTAGGAGATGGCTTATGGCTTATGATTAGAAGCATAAGTTAACAGTTGAGGGAGCTGATAGCACAGTTTTGCCTTCGCTGCTCACAATTATCTTGTGATGCCTGGAGTCTGTTCTGTGAGTCCACTAAAAGGCAGAATTCGATCACCTGTCATTTTTAGTCTTCAGACTCTTGAAGCCATAAAATACAGCTTCTTGTTGGCACAACCAAAAATAAAAACGATAACTATAAAAACATTACGAATAAAGACCTGTGATGATGATCAATAGAGGAGCGTTGAATAGGAAAATCACTTGCTCCTTGTGTAAAATAATTGTCCTGAGAAACTTGGATCTGTGGTTTAGGGAGAGAATTGGCATACAATTTAGACTGATCAACAAATGCATTCTCTAGGCCTGGAGAAGCTGTGAATATAACCTCTTTAAGAGTCGACTCTACTGTTTTCTACCAAATAGAACATTTTTGTCACTAGCAACAAGCCACCATCTGAGGCAGAGCCACCCGCTTGACCATGACTATCACTGCTCCACCATAAAAGACATTTGTGTGAACCTTTCTAAGAGATAAAGGCCCACTACTTTCAGGTCAACCTCTGGGGGTCATTAAATAGCCTCAGATCCTCCAAAATCACACCAGTGTTTGTTCTTTAGAATTTCCAAGTTGGGGCATGGGGCTGGAAAGAAGTACTAAAGACTTTTGCACATGCTTTTCTTCTTTGAATTACTGGTTTGTAAGAAACCAGTTCACCTGAGTATCTGTGGATTTTGTGCTTCACACATTTAAAACCACTTCCCTAGCTCTAGTGTGGGCAATTCAGCACACTACTCACTCCCAAAAAAGAAAATAGAACCGAATGGGTTTTACTTAACACCTAGTTAGGGGCACATAGGAGGAAACTGTATTTATTTATGACCCGCAGGAGGGAAAACGGTAAGAGACCTGCCAAAACCCAAGGAATGCATTTTATTTCTGACCTATAACCTCTAAATTAAGCCAAAGAGCAAGTTTCCTGACTTTCAATAATAGGAATTAGGCAGAAACAAGCACAAAGGAAGTATCTCCTCATGTATTTCATAAAAGGTTTAAATGGGCATCACCCCCAAATATCACATTCTTGCATTTTGACACACAAGATTTGGGGACTTTTTAAGTTGCTTTTAAAAAACACAAAAACATGAATCCTGCAAGCCTTCTCTAGTTCGTGTTAATACAGAAAATTTACTGCCCTCTTAAATTCTTACAAAGTTTTGATTAAATTTTAGCATCTGCAGACTCTAAAAACATTTATCTCTGTTTTTCCTCTCTTAATATCAGAGATCTGCCTGAAATTTGCAGAGCAGCCAGTTTTTTTAGTAGAACAAATGAAAAATAATGAGCCCCCTTGACATGCAAAAATACCCTTTGGCTGCAAAGCTGTAGCTGAGTTAGTAAAAAAACAAAATGAAGGGTAAGACTTCCAGTGTCCTGGCCATCCGTACCCATCAATCAGGCTATTAGGCCCTGGTGTTGGAAGTCTTGTAATAAAGAGCTGCTCTCCGAGCCTTCCTATGACCCAGTGAAAGCCACGTGGAGGGCTGTGTGCGGGAGAGGGCTTCAGAGCAGTAGCATTTCAGTAAATTGCCTCAACTAAATCAGTGCTGGCTATAAATACACATCTGCAGATGGAGACTTCAGCCCTGGCAGAGTCTCCTGCATCACTGTGTATGAAACAATCTGGGTCTGGGCATCTGGGCCCTTGTCCCTCTTCCCCACGACCATAATCATTGATGGCAACCAAGGGGATCTTGCTGAATGCTCCATTAAATTAGAATAATTAAACATGGCAGTCATG